GCTACGTACGGTGCGAAATAAGTTTTTCCGTGCGTGCGACTGGGTTTTTCTCCTGGTTCTCCGGTTTCTCCCCACGTGATGATGCTTAACACACACCCATGGGTGGAATTTGGCAGACGGCCCACTGTCGGAGGGGAGATGACCCTTCTGAGAAGCGGGCCTCGAGACCCTGCGGAGGCTTTTCCCGAGTGAGTCGTCATCGGCGTTCTTCAAGGGGTTGCACTTTTCTGCACCTGTCCCCCCCCCCCCGGTGCTTTTGCTGCAGTGGGACGCACCGCTCGTGAGGGCCCGCGCCACTCGCCCTCCTCGCGAATTGACGTTCGCGGTTCGATTCCCGAATGTATTTCAGTATTTATTAAAATTTTAACATTGTGGCCTTTGGTGGCTGGAGGGGTGGGGGGGGTCACATGAAAGCATGATAAAAATGTAAGGTGATGTAACGTAGTCATTTTATCAGTCGAATGCTGAATGAAGGCCTCCCCCACGCTGGTCAATGCGGGCTGTTGAAGGGGAAAGATGACCCAGGACCGGTACGGCTATGACCCAGGTCCAGTCTAGATATCACTGATGTTAGCTGTGGCCTCGGAATCAAACCCGGGCGGATGGGTCGAAAATGCAACGTGTGCCGCTTGCCACCAACAACGATGCCACCTCTCCACGTGCGCCGTGCGCACACCCAGCACGGTGGACTCGCTGCAGCGAGATCGCACGCGGTGTGACGCCGGCTCTCGCTCGCCAGAAGAATCGACGAAATTAGCCGGTGGAACCGACGCATCGATTTCTACACCCCCCTTTGTTCTTCCCCCCGTGCTTTTACTGTTTCAATCAATCAATCAAACATTGCGTGCAGAACCGGGCCGGGTGACCCGGGCGTGATTTTGAGTGCAGCTGGTTGGGTGGATGTTTGTATAGTAGCCGGGAGGAGGAGGAGGAGGGGGGGGAGAAGCATTGACACATTGACGCAGTCCGTGTCCTCACTGTAACAACAGGAAGGCAGCCGCAGCAACTCGGAACCTGTCGTGCGGAAATAAGATTGGGTCTCGTGGCCGGTTTTTGAATGTTGCGCAATCTCTCACCCCCTCGCTTTTGCGGCTACCGCAGGGCCCGCAAACGCACCAAATCGCGCAACCGCTCGACGCCTACAATAATTGGCGATGCAGAGCCCGTTGTCGATCCACTGCTGGATGAATACCTCTCCCCATGGTGGTGGTGGTTGTTTTACCCAGACTGCACCACGCTGGTCGGTGCACGTCAGTGAAGGAAAGTATGATCACTCGCCACTGACCTTTTAGCCGTGGCCAGGATTTCAACTCGGGTTGGCAGGTTCCTAGTGCGGTGGGCTAGCCACTGTGCCACCGCTCCAATGACAGCATTCTTTATTTGAATACATTTCCTTTTCAAGGAAAGCCTTGGAGACAGATTGTTCAAATATATGTGCAAAGGAAGTGGTATAATCCTCTCGTCTTGTACAGCAAACGATGAACTTTAAACGGCATTTAACCAATGATTGCATTTATAGTAATATGTATTTCATATGTGGAATAGATCACAGTTCAAAAGAAATTATACACGCTAATTAAAATATTTATTAATACTGGAGGAATCCGATGAGCTATAAAGCTCTTATAATGTCTAAGTAGCAAACGGAATTTTTATTTAAATTCTGACTGGGAAGGAGCGTCATTGTAAAAAAAAAAACTAAGAACAATTTCCCAATGTAGCGTTTACTCCAGAGACCTAACACAGGAATGTCGGGGCAAGTGTTGAATCGCGTGGGTGGTTCCGCACGTGACGTTAACAAACCGGGTCGACTTTGCGTGGTTGGAGCCTGAAGACTGAGCTCACGGCCACGGAGCTTCGGCGCTGCGTTGTTCGTGACGAGCTGTTTGGACGCGTCCTGGGTAACAACTAAACGCTCGCAGGCTGCAGAGTTGCCCATCTCGCGAGCAGCGCGCTTCGACGGGGTCAGGATGCAAAGCGCCCCCCCCCCCCCCCGTCTGCTTTTGCATTCAGAAGTGGGAGTTTGCTTGCTGCATTGCTGGTAAATAGAAAAGTAGCGATTCGTCGATTTATTTTTTTATTGATTCTTAAAGCTCGCGAAAAAAAAAATGCAATGATTTGCGTGTGCGAGAATTTTTACTTTTCTACGAATGTGGCCATATCCGTTCAATGTTACTTCGAGGAAAGAAAGGCCGTGGCATTTTCCACAACTTGCCGCCCACCCTCCCCGTACAGGAAGCACGCTTTCGGTACAAGAAAATAAATTGTTAATAAGGCCGCCGTTAACCAAACTCCACACTTGTTGAAATCCCAGGTGTGCAAAATGACTTTTCACAATTGGGTAATAAAAAAGATGGCAGCACGTGGAGTGCGTAACAGACACCTTCCCGTAAACGCTCGAATTGACCATTGCACCCCCCCTTCTGCCTTCGGAGGCGTTAGGGGCGGCGTGCGATGTGTATGGGGAGGCTGCATGAAAGACCAGCTTGCGGAACAATAGTGCTGTGTTGACGCAAATGGGTGGAGTACTTCTCTTGGCTTGTGTTCGTTTCAACGTACGTGTGTGGTGTGTGACCTCAGGTGTGTGACCTCAGGTGTGTGTGTGCATGTGCACGCAGGAACAAAAGATCAACATTCCTAGCTGCAAGCTTAGCTTTTCATTCCCTCGTGTGAACATAACACCTCTCCCCTCTAAGCCGCATAATGTGCACGGCAGCAATTTTCATGCGTTTTATTCTTGCGATATATATATTTTTTTTACACCAAGTATTTTTCGACTGTCCCATCATCATTGTGGCGCCAGATGGAACGGTGCAGTGAGCAGTGCACCACGCCGTGTCGGAGAATGTCCCCCCCCGGCTCATTCCCGGCGAAGGCCACGTCACACAGCCGCTTGTGCAGTGTGCACAGTCGGAAGGAATGTTTGTGAACTTCTTTCGCACCGTACGTAGCCGACCCTGCTAATCGGAGTTGCGCGGGGGGGTGGGGGCACAACGAACTAAACAAAGAGCAGTTCTAAACGTCCGGATGGCTTTCCCATGCCCCTTGCGAAGAGTTTTCGTCGAATGGCAATTGAACCGAAACCGTTGGCCTCAGAGCTGCGATGAGCCGATTTTTTTTTAAGTGACGATCTAAATTTAACACAAGGGAATTTTGTTTTTATGTATTCACGTTGTCACCGGTTGACTGTGGTGTTGCGAGGCCTCGCTCGCCACGCCGGAGAATTTGGTTGAGTCACGGACAGCGGAAACCCCCAGGGGTGTGGCATGTCGCTCGGTTCCCTGACCCTCCCGAGGTCACGAGGTCACCTCGCGTGGACTCGCGGCACACGACCCCCGGTAGTCTGCGTGCGATTGGCCGAGTGTATTTTGAATGTGTTTTGTTAACTGTAAAGTCCTTCTCTTCTGTTTGTCAAACCTCTCAATCGCTTGTATTTTCCCACACCTTGCCAAAGTACGTTGGGATTTTTTTAGTCGATCTGTAAAAAGTTGGGAAATCGGGAATGTGGGGAATTCCTATTCGCTTGCCTCAATTAAATAACGTAAATACAAGGATAGTTTACTGCACGTGAAAACCTTTGTTTCTTATTCAGTGTTGTTGATTTTCCACCCCACCTGTGCAATCGTAATGGTTAATGAATTAGGCTTGCAGTTCTGCACCTTCAGAAGAATGCGGTATTATTATAATCCAGCAGCTTTGGTTCATATGAGAACTCTCCTTGAGGGCCTGTGTCAACGGCAGAAAAAAATATTGTTAAAACAAATGCCGTTGCCAAAAGCTTGCTTATTTACAACACGGCACCATGGTTGAGAATATTCAAAAATGTGTAACACAACGAATGTGTTGTGGAATATCATCACTAATGACATGGACACATTTATGTTCTATATTTCCACGTAAAAAATAAAATGTGTGTTCGTGCAGCTTATTGGACATTTAGACCACTTTATTCATGCAGTGACCACCTCTGAAAGTATAAACATTTTGTTGAAACAAACAGACTCCTGAATCAGTTGTAACATTTAGTCTCGTCAGCAAGTAGAATTGCTCGAAAATGCCGCTGCTTTGCCAGATGTATTGGCATCAGCGCTGATAACGTGACAATCTGATCGGGGTAATGAACAACTTCCTCTCCGGAGAGAGCATGGCGCATGGGAGGCAGCGCAGTGTTCTGCGAGCGCAGTTGGAGGAAGTTGGATGACTGGCGCTGACTGGCGGTGACTGGCGCTGACCAGCGGTGACTGGTGGTGACTAGCAATGACTAGCGGTGACTAGCACTGACCAGCACTGACCAGCACTGACCAGCGCTGACTCGTGTTGCCCAACGGTGACTAGCGGTGACGAGCGCCACCAAAGTGGCTCGGCAGCGAGGTGTGGGGGGTCCATTCCTAACGGATTAACCGGCGGGCCGGATTAAGCCGAGATTGCCGGCACACGCACATCGGACGGTGAGTAATTCTGGTCATTTGAAGGCCACCCAGTGCACCCCGGTAAATGCGGGTTGTTGAGTCGTAACGTCCCCGTCGCTCGGGATAGCGGCTCACCAGGCTATATTTGAGCACTGCCTGTGTCGAATGTTTACTCCCCGGCGACGTTTGGCCCGAGCCCAAGGTGCTTGCCCAACGACTTGTTCTCTTCTTCGAGACCAAACAAATCCGGTGCCCGTTCGGCGGCACTTTTCGATACAATGCTCGCGCACGCTTGACCGACCGTTAATATTTAAAGGCCGTGCGGTAATGCGACGCTCACTTAGGAGGACCGTCGTGAAATATTAAAATAGAGCGGCTTTTGTCTCATTTGGCTGCGGCAACGCGCGAGCGGATTGGCCGGAGTGGCCGACGGGAGCTGGCGGTCGGGCTGCCATCGCCAGCCGGGATTGGCGGTTTGGGCAGATGGAGGTATTTTGGAAAGGTCCAGGGGCCTCGTGGCTCCGCCTATGGTTGGGGAGGGGGGGGGCATGAGGGGGGGTCGCGGGGGTGGGGGGGGGGTCTTCTAGAAATGGCGTTGGTGTTGGATGAGTGCCGGGTGACAGCATCCTAATTCGTGCCGACCGAAATAACCGAGCAGGCTAATCGTCTTAACTTAGACACGGACGCACTCGTTGCTGCTGCTGGCGGGCTCGCGCCTACGCGCGGCGTGACTCATCCCAGAAGGATAAAACCGGCTGCCGCTCAGACGCTCGCCATCATTTCGTCTGCAAGTTGCTTGTGTGTGCGAGTCCGGAGCCTCAAGCCACTCAGGAATTGGCCTCCCTGTCTTCTTGAACGTCGCGGCATTGAAACGAGAGAAGGAAGTTGAGGCTCCTACAGCTCCTGCTGCTGCTGCTGCTGATTACGACCGTGATCGCTCGAAGACACTGAGAGCCGAAGGGCGATCGGGGAAAAAAGCCTTGAGGTTCAGCGACCGATCGAGGAGAGAGGGCTTCAGACTTTACTGGTAAGAGCTTGAGTGCATGCGTTGAAGTCTGGAGCCGATGTTTTAACTGGGAGTTTTGAGTTTTAAGTTTCAATCTTGTTTCTCTGTGCAATGAGAAGAGAAAATTGGCAAGAGACGGCACGTGTGCGTATGGTTAAGTGCTCGACTAGCAATTGGATTTGTTTTTATTCATTGACCTGGCTTGCCAAATGTACGGGTGGAATTCATGGATTAGGTTTTCTCATTTTCATTTTTCTACTGCATTATCCAAGATTATATGTTGCAGCTTTTAGAAACTTTATATAGAGCGATCTATTATTGCCGAAAAGGGTAAAGCCAATTCTTTTTTCATTAGAGACTTTATTAATTAAAAAACCTGACTATATTGCTGATATAAACTGTGACGCAGATAATCTTTCACACACAGACACACAGGCCCGCAGGTGCTATGCTTGTCCACATAAATACATACACACACCGCAGCAAAAGAACCATTTACAGCCTTTTGTTAATCCACTGCTGGACGAAGGCCTCTTCCCTGCTGTATCAGTCAAGTCATGAAGGGGTTGCTTGACCATACTTCACCGCACCGGGGGGGTAGGACCGGTCCACTCGCTCTGTGACCACGAGGAGCACCCCCTCTCCGACGTTCTCTCTCTCTCTCTGTCCGCCGCGTATCGCGTTTCCGCGGGCGAGTATTTTTGGAGGCTGTTCGCTTGCGGGACGGCGCATGTCGGGACTGCACCCACGGCGGGTTGGGATCGAGGCCGTGTGGCTGAGAGGGCTCCGAGCCTGATTTATGTGGCGGCCCGGCGGTGGAGGGTAGTGGCTGGGGAGGGAGTGGGGGGGGGCTCGCGGAGGCGCGGAAGAGAAGGCCTTGTTTGTGGGCCCCATCGGCAGCCTGTAAATAGACGATGGTCGGCCGGTTAACGAGTGGCCCCGGGGCAAGACTTACATGGCGACACCTCCTTCGTGAAGACGAGAATAGACCGCCTTTATGGGGCAGTCGTGCCCCGGTGCCGAGGCAAATCTCGTGGTGGCGTCGCTGGTAAAATGTGTTAACCCATTCGTTGAGTCGTTCGTTCTTCTGTTGTTCAACTTTCTTCACCGGGTGAAGGGAGCCGTCGAGATCGTAGTTGTATTTTTTTCCAAGGGAGACCTCGGGGTGAGCGATCAACGTCGGGTGAAGGCGCCTTCCGTGCGTTCGCGACTGGCTTTTTGTTATCTACAGCTGCTGGAGGGGTGGGGAGGAGTCCCTTGTGAATTCAATGAAGGCTCGAAGCCAACAACGGGAAACAACGTATGTGTACCTGACTTCCCCTGCTCAATGACGCGAATTACGTATCGATTCGGGGATCAATTTGCCGTGCTGATTTGCGAAGGGGTGTTTTGGTTGGGTGGGGGATCAAATCGTTCAGAGCGCGTCAAGTAACGAACAACAAGTTGATTTGTACAGCCACGCGTAGCGAAGTAACAACAGGTTAATTCAATCTTGACTTAAAGCTTTCGTGACTGCAGGAATTAATATTAATAAGTCTCGTAGATAGGTTCAAAGAAACTAACACAAATAACAAAACCGACGACGTTTCGATCACAACACAAGCGGTCGTCATAAGGAAAAGAGGGGGTGGGGGGGGGTGACGACCGCTTGTGTTGCGATCGAAACGTCGTCGGTTTTTGTTATTTTCTTTGAACCTATCTGCGTGACTTTACCGAAAGACCCAAAGAACAAGTTGATTGTACGTCTGTCTACGAGTAGCGGCCGACGAGCGTTCAAACGTGCGACACTCAATGCCGACCATCCAGCCAGGAAAGGCCTTCGCTCACTCGTAGGACACCGTTCGCAGGAGCGTGTTGCATGGGGATGGTTTGGCCGCTTCCGTTAACGAGCGTTCGATGTAGGAGGAAATCTGAGGAGCTGGCGGTGGCGAACCCGCCACGCGTCTGAGGGGGCGGCGAGCTTGGGGGGGGGGGGGGGGTTGCTGCCGCTCGGCACTGCCACCTCCTGTCAACTCTCAGCGCCATCCATGCCTCTGCACCACGCGGAAGTCCCAGTGGTGGCCAAACCAAAAGCGAAGCATCGAGGATAGTTTGAAAATGGGCGCAGGTGTTACCGTGGCGTCGGTGGCGGGTGGTGGTGGTGGTGCCCAGGTGAAAAAGGACGTTGCAAGCAACTCATGGAGAGGAATGTGCTCCTTTTTTAAAACCACCACGTCCGTCGTGATCATCGTCATCTCCAACGCCGTGTTGCCTTCAGAAAAAGTTGGCTTCAGCTCAATTCCCTAAAAAAATTATCCTATAATAATACACAACCCTTTGTCAATCCACTACTGGTTGGCTGATGGATGAAGGCCTTCCGGCACCACGTTGATCGTCAGGGGTTGTTGACCCTACTTGACCTCCGCTGGTCCATGCGCTTTTGCGAGGGTGGACACCGGTGACCGGTTCCGGTATCGCTCGCTGACGTGGAGGGTATCCGGGAATTGCACGCGGATGATCCGGGTCCGATGACGGTGCAGCATGCGCACGACTGCACCACCATCGCCGCTCCATCGCTGCACGTGGACGCGTTTAGAGATACGTATTTAAAATGTAACTTTGCCATTTGCCTTTCAATAGCGGTAAGGCATTTCACTTGGCCCACATTTTTGACTACCCATTTCATTATGAACGTATCAACCGATTCGCTTAAACTTTAACGGAAGTTTAAAGCGCGGCTGAACGGCGTCACCTGGATTTGCGGTGTTCACGAGGCCGTTGTGGTAATAATCACCTATTTTATAAAGCGCCTTTCATATTGAAATGTCCCAAAGCGCTGTGCGTAAAAAAATAAACTACACTCGCAAGTATCAAATACAATCTAAGCGACGTAGTAAGCTGATAATAACGATGTCATTGACCCGTGCCCACGTGGGTTTAGTTTCCCCGCCTTGCAAAGACTCGGCACACGAGGAGCCCGCCTCCCAATGGTTAATCCTCCCCGCTGCTGTAAACATTCTCCGCTTTGCATGAAACTGTTCCTGTTTGCCATCCTCCAGACAACTAGCATATGTGCATTGTGCACGCGATAGGGGGCCTTTCGTCAATCCACTGCCGGGTGAACGCATTGCCATGCCTTGTTGGTCGTGGGTGTAGTTTGACCCTACTTCCTCACCACCCTGGCTGGTGCAGTAGTTTGTGAAGGTGGGGGAGGGAGGGTGGCGTTCCCCGATACGTTTTGGATAGATATCGCTGACCATCACTGATGCCAGCCACGCCCGGGAATCGACCTCGAAGCCGGCAGCGACGCGGCTGGGCCGGTGCGCGAACGGCCGCGTCGCCTCTGCCGCCAGTGAAGGTCTGTCGAGCGTAAAGGTGACCTCGTTGAGGACGCGCGATGAATTTCTCAAGGGGGAGCGTCTTCTCCCGTCCGGTTCAGCGGTGAAGCCGCCCCGCGGCGCAGGTGACGACTTCTCGCGCGCGACTCCAACGCACGTGCGCTTCGTGGGCTTCGCGCGACTGCGATTCCTGAGAACCCTGAGAATAGTCTGGACTCGTTGCCCTGTGACCCCCCCCCCTTCCCTACACCCCCCCATCCCAACCCCCGTATACTGACGGATTCCAATGGGGTGACAGATTCATCGTCGCTGGCCGGAGCTGTGACATCTGTGTCGTCAGTCGCTCCAACGAGAGCGCCGCGACTCTTCATCGCGGCGCTGACGAGTGTCGTGACATCGATGGGGGGGGGTGATGAAGTGGGGGGAGATGCATATTTTACAGCTAGAGTTCGGAGAAGAGCCCAAAGGAACAAGCAGTCGTCATTCTTATTACAATGCTCTCATACTCCGTGGCAACAAGCGCTTTGGCTGGGGCACGTGTTTAAACACGTTTTAAACGATTAAAACGGTTGATGTTTTGTTCAAGGACTTTTTAATGAATTCACTAGTTCAGAATCGGTATCTTTTAAACTGGAGGAATCCGATGAGCTGTGAACCCCTTTTTTCACAGATGTCCAGTAGGGTGGCCGGTCAGCAAGTTACATTTCAGTTATCCAATCGTGTCCTGCATTAACCCAAGCAATATTTGCCGAGTCTCAAGGCACCCTTTTTGCGGGGGTCCTGCCGCACGGAGACATTCGGTCCAAATTCCGTGGCGGTTAACGAGCGTTGGGCGTTTTTTTTTCTTCCACGAGCCTTACTCCTGCACTCCAACCACTCCTCGCTTCGGCCGGGCAGCATCTACTCGTGAAGTTTTTTGTTTAATGACGCGATCTCGCTCTGATCACTGGAGCGTGTTCACTTGGCGAGGGACGGTAGAAGCGGTGCGGGTTGGACAGCAGTGGGGGGCGGGGGGGGAGCAGCGTAACCCGAGACCCCGAGGGCCTCGCCTGGCACGGCATCTCCTTGCCCCGGGGCTTATTTTTGGGCGCAGCCCGAACGCGCGAGGCGTGGATTTCTGCCCTCCGGGTGGCAGCGGAGGGGAAGCTGAGGGCCATGATGAATGAGTGGGGGGGTGGGGGGTAATGTGAGGGAGAGAGGTGGGGGGGTCTCTCCCGCTTTTGTGTGGCCGTTGGACCCGTGGCACGGCCGTCAGCGCGGCGCTGGGCTGCTGCGTCGGTGACGCAAGCGAGAGAGTAAAAGTGTTCCCCTGCCGCGGCGAGAGAGAGGTGCCAGCGATGAAGTCATAACGCGCAATCATAATGCCTGCGTGCGTGTGGAACGGCAGCACGATCTTGAGCTCTCGCTACGAACTCGGCGATCCGAGTTTGGTTCCCGGCCACGGCCGGCATCGGTGGCGAATCTCTGAACCCGTCCTGGGGGTGGGGGTGTCTGTAAACATAGTGACCGGGCCGGTGATAGTCGCATCTCCCCCCCGTGTGTGTTCCATGCCGGCGTTACTAGGTGCTCGTAAACAGCAAGCGTCTGTAAAACGCGATGTGCGTGGCTAAGGCCCCGCTTCTTGTAAAAAAATAATAATTTTTAACAATGTCCACAGCGGTAACTTTGTTTATTTTGCTAAATGTGTTTATTGGCAGTCGAATTCGCAGTTGGCGCGAGTTGCGCGTTCTTGTGAATGCTATATCAGCATTGTCCACAATCGCTACAGAGCTGCACACATGCGAAACTAATTAGATGACGTGGGCGCACTTGCAAATCTCGTGATGGTTGGGTCATTCTTTATATATATATATAAAAAAAATATCAAATGATTAGTTTTGGATAGCATCGTTTCAATGCAAGTTGCGTCTCGCAACCGCTGATGAACCACGGACGAGCTGGACGGCTGCCATGCTGCGAGCTGGCGCCAACAATTCGCTCTGCGGTTCTCTATATATTAAGATGTTTTCGGAAAATTAGTGAGTGTTTTATACATGTGGAAGAAAACCGGAGCACCCGGACAAAACCAAACACGTGTATGGGAGGGGGGACAACTCTCCATCCCATAGACCAGGGACAGATTGATATCAGTCCACGCTTTGCTGTTACTGCATTCTGCTGGGTGGACCAATGCGGTGGGATTGTGGGATTTTAAAAACTTGCACCGTTGTCTCAATTGCCGCAGCCGGCAGATGGAATTGAACCGGCGGCCTGTGGATTGCAAACCGAGTGAGCTAACCATTCCACCAGAACAGCTAATGTGTGAACGTGTACGATGTGGTACGCTGCTGCTATGTAAACGTAAATCATGCTTTCATAAAAGGTCTATTAATGCATGCACACGTCATGCTTAGCATTGCGTAGCTTGCAAGCTTGGGTATTTCACATGCACTCAATATCACGTGCTCTGTTAACAGATACGCGTGCGTTCATAACTAATTGAAATACTTGGGTTTTCAGCGAGAGAAAGAAAACACAGTTCGCAACGAAAACTAAATCAATCGCGACGTCAACCTCGAACTGCCGGCTGCTTACGTGTTGCAGAATTCAAATGTTCAGCTGTCGGTTATTAAAGAACTTATTAATTTTTACTTATTATTTTCAGTAGGCAAATCTAAACCACACGCAGATATTTAATTCGTGGCGACATTAACGGCTGCGTTTATAATACCGAAAATAAGACGCGTGACATCTAAAAGTGACGGCCATAAAACTGCCAGAAAATTCCACGTGATCGTAATGAGGGCGGACGGGCGGGCGAGGGTCTTTATATCCGCTCTGTAAGGGGACACGGTCCGGCAGTGTCGTGCGGCGTGGGTTATTTACGAGGTGTCGCGCTGGAATAACTTCGTGGCAGAGGCGAAACGGCGGCGCGCGACCGTGGGGGCCCTCGGCCGAAAAATCACCGATCCCGCCACCGCCCCCGCCACCGTAGCCTCCCGCATGCCGGCTACGTGACGGGCAACCGTTATTTCGGGGTGCAATGCAACCTGCCTTATTTTTGGATGTTTTTTTATATTTAAAAGTAAAGCAGTAAAAACCCTAAGAAAAAAACAACTCGTGACAAAGTACGTTCTCGAAAATTGGCGCGGCAACCACAAAGGTCGAGCGCGTTGGAGAGAGAGAGAAATGGAAATAGCGCTCTTGCCCAAATGGGTCCCCGTTCAATTAGTTTTTCGCTATTCTAAATCTGCGCTACCGGGCGGCCAGCAGCACGCGTGTTCGGCGATCAAGTTGTTCGTGGGTGAAACGCATTTTTGATCGCAGCAACATTGCCGTGCTCGTGACCCGACGTGTTCGGGCTTCGAGGTCGAAGTTCGGCTAACGTCTGTGGATACTTTGCGTATACGGGAATTTTATCCATCTTCTTTGCGCGTGCATTCTCAACAATTGACGAAATGCCAGTCGTGCCCAACTAAACATTTTGACTGTGGCTATTTTTTTTTCGATAAGGCCTTTTTATTTTTTGTTATCACTTGTGGTAAAGACCGCTGGTGGTGGTGTTCGAGATTACCACATGTTTTCCGACACGACAAATTATTTTTAAAACATCAAGAGGTCATCCGTGTTAAGTTTGTAACTAGCTCGTTTCTCGGTGTCAAAAGACTATCGGCAACCTTTAAGTGTTTGTGCGATGGTACAATAACAACAACGCCCACCGCATTCTCGGTTGTGAATGAAGATCGCACAAACGCTTTCCGAACGCTCAAAGTTCCGCGCGTGGCTATCGAGTCGAGTGGGCTCTGGTTTCTCTGGTGGCGTCAACTATGGTGGCGACAGACATTCTAATTTGAAGTTAAAGCCATACTAGCTTTGACTTCAAATTTCTATTTTACCAGGTAAGTATATAGTTATGCACCTCTTTTTCAGAAGCGATCTGGCCGAAAATGATAGCTCAACGAAGCGGCTTATCATCGCTTGGAAATTTATAGCAGCCAAATACTCAAAATGCATGTGGATTTTACATGTGGCGGAACAATCCAGCAGGACCCAGAGGGGGGAAAAAAATATCCACGCGACCACAGGGAGAGACGCAAACTCCAAATATCCAGCAGGTGTTGGGGGTCGGGATTGAACCCACGACCTCCTGTAATGCCAGGCGAGGTAGTTAACATCTCCTAGCCACCGTGGAAGTGTCGCACCGTGACGAAAGCAAACAAAGCATCGGGATTTTCTTCCCCCACTCTTTTGTGGTCTTGTTATCAGTCTTGTTCCAATTTGTTACGAACAGCATCGTGTCAGCGGGATGACACCGTTCGTTCGCAAAGCGTCTCGCAGCGATTTGCGGGGGCGGAACGTGGCGAACGCGACCAATCCCCGCCCCGGGCGCTTCTGCAGATCAGTGCGACCTTGCCGTCGAACACTCCGGAATCGTCCGAATCGGCAGTCGTTTACCCTTTACAGTCGTGTGTGTGTGTGTTCGTTTCGCACCGTACGTAGCAAGCCAACCGTGCTAATCGGAGGTGCGGTACAAATCGGAGGTGCGCTTTGTTAACAGGATAAGTCGATAGTTTGAAATGTTTCTGTGTAATGAATGCCTCATCGCCCCAGCCCTGCTTGGATAATCTACAAAGTAGAATTCCACTGCCCGACTACGAAGCATTACCCACGATTAACCCACGTCTTTCGAGAGGCGTGAAGTGTACGGCCGACCTGGTGTGCGCGGCGGCTCTTGCTCGCCCCTCCGCCCCCCCCCCCCCCGGAAGTTGAACGGCGCACTCCGTTCTGCCCCCCGCGGTCGCTCCACCCCCACGTCGCTCACTCCTACCGCTCCGTTGTCTCCCCCCGCCCTCACGCGTGTGCCCAACAGACTGCCGGGATTTTTGGAGAGCGACCGGTGCGCCCGCTATCGGCAGAGTCCCGCCACGTGCACCGCACGCCCCGCACGCGCCATGGAGGAGGAGCTGGAGGGCGTCTCGCTCAAGGAGCGCATCGCAGCCTATCAAGCGGCACTGGCCGACGGCACCGCCACCGCCCGCACCGACACCGCCGGCGGCACGGTGAGGCCTCGACCGTATTTGAGAGTAGCCCTCTCTTACCGTTGTCTCGACTGACATTGTTAGAGTTTTCCAGGTGGGTCGAGGGTCATAAACTATGAAGCTGGCACTGCTTAATAGTTGATCGATTTAACCCACCTATTCCAAGTGGTAGTGTGGTGATGGTCTCAGCCCGGTCACCAATTTGGCTCAACTCAAATTGTGAAAATTCTAAAATATCGGTTTGACTGTCATTTGGTCACGTGGGAGAAGACGTCACTTAATGGGAAGTAGCTTCGTGATGCCACCTCCTCTGGGCCATTCTCTCGCGGATGCATCGTTCGGCAACATTTCCCAATCGATCATCCTTCTCGCGATTTGATAACGATCGCAAAATCACGATGACGTCGAGGTGGGGGGGTGAAAACTAAATCCCAACGACAAGGATAAAGACGGGTTAAGCCGATTTTAAGAACTTTTTGTGGAGCCGTATCTGCATTGCCCCCTTCTGAGGGCTGTTTTCCTTTCCCAAAATGAAACCGGCCGGCACCGATGCGTGGGCCGATTTAAACAATCGTGATTTTTTTTTTTTTATTATCGGTGGGAAATTCCTTCGCGCGTTCATTCTGCGTGCCGGCCTGTTTTAGTCTGCGTCGGGGGCGAGTTATATCTGTCGGCCGAGGGGTAACTGGCGGGATTTTTTTTAGGCACTGGCCGACGTGGGTGTTCACAAGGGAACGGCCTCCCGTTTGAATGTTGCCACAGCTGCTGTCGATTTGAAAGACTTCAAAAATACATTGCGAGTTGTCCGAGGCCGTGTTTAGCGCCGGTCTCTGTGCGCTGCGGCGATTTTTGCAACAACAGTTTAATCTATTTGCTGTGTGTGAACGGCATCGTTTCTTACGCGTCACTCAGACTTTCTCTCTGCATTGGCGGAGGACCGTTGCCCAAAATGTTGCCAGATTTTTATTTAAAAATATATTGGTAATAATTATTAGCCGGTTTTGGCCAATTCTGACATTGGGTACGGTATTTTAAGTCTGTGTATTTATACGTGCACCTGTTGTTGATGATGGCGATGAAGAATCAGCTATGAATATTCATGTGTTTTTTCGTCTGAGACGAAGAGTATAAGAGAGCATGCGTGCGCGCGCGTGCGTCATTCGTGAGGACGGGACCACAAAGAAGTTGAGAGGGTGTCTAGGTGGACACGGGTCATTGATCATTAGTGAAGCGGAGTTTAAAGCCATGGAGTCTTTATTTTTTTTCTTTTCATGGCCCTTTCAAAGTGAGGTGGGGGGGCGGAGGGGGGTGGGGGGGGGGCGGTGACCTCTCACTCGCTCGCTCGCATTCTCTCCCGCCCTGCTCGTGCGCACGTCCGCTCTGACCCGGGATGGAATTAACCGCAGCTCATCGCTTCTTTCCCGCTGCTTTTCCCCTCGTTTGTCCAGTGACGTTTTAACGTACAGGTGTCGACGGCTTTGCGTGCTCGCTGCGCGTGGGCCGGCGGTCGGCACGATTCGTCTTGCGCATTAAGCTACGAAAAGTCGGCGACCTTCCCTTGTTCCATTCCAATGCCGTGTGGCTAACATTGATGGAGAGCGACATCTGAACCGAGTCCACCGACACCTCTCCTCGGTTGGCTCGAACTTAAACGAGTACCTGGTGCGATGTGTTAATCGTCAGCGCTGGCGAGACAAAGATGGGCGGGGAGGTGGTGGGTGGGCATTCCACAAATCAATTTAACGGGATGGCCTTAATAGATGCCCGTTAACAGAACTTGCCCTTTTGATCTGCGGGGGGTAACGGGGCATCTTTGTTTTGTCTATTCTTTGCTTTGCGGTGGTAACCCATGCTAGGTCTATCGTATTACAGCGGCGCATGTGGGCTTTCACCCTGCCACGTGGTGGTGGGGTGTGTGTGTGCGTGTGTACGCGTCTGCGTGCTTGGGGAGCGCCTCGTGCCACAGTTAGCGCCGCTGCACTACGAACCCGTCGAGCCGGGTTGAGTGCCCGCTCACGACGAACACCAGCTGCGATTATCTGAACTGGTCCTGGACCTCCACTTAGGTCGACTCGGCCTCAAATTAATAGCTGGTGCGGTGTGTGAACATTGCGATATAGGGAGACGAAGGGTGTGTTGTTGGCCACCCACCACCTCGTGTCGGACTTCGTAGGTGCTCCTCGCTATAACAGCACTTGCCCCAACATTCTGTTAAGGCTATACGGAGGGGGTGTGGGATCTTTGTCTTTTTTTCTGCGTATGTGTGTGCGCTTGCATGCATGTGTGCTTGTACGCATGCACACGCAGACACGTATGTACCTTAATACAGGTTTTTTGGGTTGGATTGCGTATATATTTATTACGCGATCTAACCCAAAAAAACCTGTGGTGGATGATATTTGGTCGCGAAAGCCTTACGTGTTCAACTGGCGTATGTACTTCCTTGTGCGAGCCCTCACGCTCGTGTCTATCTGTGTTGCTGCCGCTCACCAGGTGAGGGAGGTGAGTGGCGAGGCCACCGACGGGTTTTCCGAAGTCTCCCAGCAGTTCCAGCGTGAGCATCACTCAGTGCAGGTAACTTGGTGATGGACGCCCCGTTCGCGAAACAAAAAAACGAGCATCTGCCTGTGCCTCTTCGCCACGTTACGTTGGAGACGTTGAGAAAATGTGACGGATGGCCACAGGTTTGGTTCCTTTGAGCCGGTGGGCCTAGATGAAGCCGGAGAGATTTTCGTAACGTGCGATGCACGACGCCTCCACGCATCGGTACATCTATGATGGGAGGGTTTGCTCTGGGCCAGACTGCCCAACAAGGCCGCGTTGAGGTGGATGGTGGCGATGGTGACGATGTTCTCACGCGGTATGAGAAAGGGTTTTTGATTAACTGTGGGCAACGTTTGAAGGACAAAATATAACTGAAAATACTTCTCGGGCATATATTATCAGAATCGGAATATATGATCAGTATCGGAATATTTATTTATATTTATACCGGAAGAATCCGATGCGCTACAACGCTTTTTTTTTCCACGGATAATACACGTGAGAATACATCACGAACAATTAAGGTAAATTACTTAAAAATATATATCCACGTGTGTTTTAGGCTCATGGAGCCGCGAGCTCGTGGGAGGGAGCATTCAGCCGGTGGGGAAAACGCGACCCCAGGGTCGTTGTGCAGACAGACTGCGAATAACAAAATAACTTGACGGACAATATTTTATCCGTCCCTCTATATGCAAATAGAAAAAGTATTATATATTTATCCATCACTGCATGCGTGTTGACTGCACTAATCAGGTACTAGATGGGGGGGGGGGGGGAGTTTTTTTAATCTGGCAACAACACCATGTTTATGAAAAAAAAAGTGAGAATAAACGTAAGTTTAGCGTGCGAGGTCGCTTGCTTCTCTTGCCAGGGCCCCCCCTGAACTGCCGGCCGCGACGCTCGTTATTTCTCACGTTACTTCTCTCGTTATTTCTCACGTTATTATTAGACAGCGCCGCGGTTGCCCGCCAGTGTGTGCGCCTCCCCCACCCCGAAGGTATTTTGGTTGTTGTTGGGCCCTTGCCGCGGGCGAGTCCATGACACCCTGCGTCTGCGTTGTCGCCCGGCAGCACGTGACGAGCAGCAGCAGCAGCAGCGAGGTCCATGTCGTCTCCAAGTCGGTGGAGCAGAAGGAGCAGCACGCCTCGAGCATCACCTCCTCGTCCCAGCTGGAGGAACAGTCGGTGAGCGAGCGGGCGGACGAGCAGGCCAGCGAACGCCTCGACTGCCTCCATCGCGAACCCCCCCCCCCCACCTGCACGGTCACGGTGGTTCAACTCTTCAGCTGCTGATCGGTTGCCCACTGCAGTTGACGGAAGAGGGCCTTGGTTGTGGAATTTCTTCTTCCACTCGTTTGTCCCACTCACGTTGGGGGGGTCCGCTGTCTTTGCCAACCTTCTCCACGCTGCCCTGTCCTGCAATGTCTCTCTTTCCGCTCCTCGGGCCACCGTGTCCGATCGCACCACATCATTCCCTCCACCTCTTATTCTGTTGCCTTCCTCTTGATCTCGTTCATTTCACTTGCATCACTTGCACCTTCTGATCCACATCATGTTTCTGTTGTCTCTCCGCATGACCGAACCACACCAGCCCTTTCTCTCTCATCTTCTCTGTAATTTCTACCACCTTGAGTCTTCCTCTCACTTCTTCATTTCTCACCCCCTGTCCCCTTCCTTGTTAAACCCAACATCCACCGCAACATCCTCATCTCTGTGACTGCCATAGCTTGGTCCCCCCCTCTTTCTTGTGCCCCAGCACTCGGCCCCATACAACAGCACCGACCTCACCACCGTCTTGTTCACTATTTCCTTCAACTAAACTGGGGGGGGACCCTCTTATCGCACACCGCACCACACGGCCTTGGTTGTGGATGGAATGTGCCAATTTGGTGTAGATCTAGTGTACAAGTGCAGCGCTCTGCCACCCCCTCTTGCCCCCTGCTCCACCCTCGCTCCACCCCCCCCCACTCCCCCTCCACCCCCTCCCAACAACCAGCAGTGTTGCCCTGCGAAAGGGGAGAAAAAATATATGTCTATCTAATCGGCGACGGAATAAGAATCCCCGTATTGGTTTACTGTGTGAAATGCTTTGGTGAATTATCTGGTGACGTTTTTTAAGGCAGCGGTTATTGTCGAAGGTGGGTTTTTTGTGTTTGTGCACCCTACCGAACACCAAAACAACAAACGAACTCGGCGTCACGTAAATACATTGTTTACACGTCACCGGATAAGTCACCAAGCGTGCCGAACGGCGTAAGCGGTTTACGAACACGCACGCCGGGAACGACTTCCATATCTGCGCGATGTCCTCCTCCCGGGCAAGTGGCCAGAATTGTCGCTTGTTGCTTTGACGGTTGTTTGTCTGTCGCCGGGCCCAAACCCAGTTAAGTCGCTCAATCGCCAACACTGGCACGCGTCGAGGAGAGAGGGCTGCTGCCGCCGCCGCTACCAACTCTCGCTGTGCCTCAGCGCCACCTACTGCCGTGCCAGAGAGAATTCACTCGGAGCCACTCGCCGTGTGTGCAAATGCCGGTTCCATTACACGCGCGGCAGCAGCGGATGTTTCCTTCCTTCATTCAACACCCTTGTGACCTGCGAGGGCAAGGGGACCAACAGTGAATTTTCTTTAGGAAACGGCGGTTCTTCCGTCATGCTTAACGGAGTCCGAGAGGCTTTTCTTTGGATTACGCGCAATTGCACGCTTGTGCCGAGATTAGGTGTAAACGTTGCACGTCCCGGCCGGCGCTACTGACCAGCGGGGGTGGAGTGTGATCAGGCAACCCCCATGACTGACACGGCATGGGGATGCCTTTATCCAATGCCAACACATGTAGTATTGATGGTTTTAATGGGATGTATTGGTGGAAGTGTTTCTGTGCTTTGTACTATGGGTATTAAATGACACTCTTTGTTACACGTGTAGTAATATGCAAAATTTGTATCTTTTTTTTTTCCTCGAAGGCTTCAAAGTCTGAAGATAATGTTCATACTTCAAGATCAGTTTCCTCTGCTCACAAGGCCAAAGATACCGATTGTGAGTATGGCGCACATACTTTTAATATTTGTTGATGGTGTTAGTTTTTGTAACGCAAATACACTGCAAACTCGATGTGAACTTCTGTAAATGTCTTTTGTAAGATTTATTGTAATATCCGTCTGTACCAAAATGCTGGCACTGATAATATCACAGTACTTAATGGAAGCACCATCAAACTAGGGGTGTAATGGTGCATCGATTCATCGATTAACATCAATTATTGTCACTTAAGTCGATGATGCTCACATTGGATTGGTTTGCACGTGGTGTCTGCGCCCACTCTAACGTGGCGCTTTTCCACCCGTGTTATTGTTAAACCAAAATAACCAATTCTCGAATGGATTCGCCACCCTGAATCGAACCGATTTCATTCCGCTCTCTACTGCGAACCTGTCAACTTTTTGCTCCATCTTGCCCTTTGCTCGTGAGAGAACTGACCATTTGACACCGCGGCATCGTTCGCGACCCTGGCGAATGGTATGGGCCGTTTCCGATATCACGCGTTGGCGGCCACAACACGTGTTGCAGTTTTTTTGTTCGTGTCGTTTTAACGGAGTGTGCGCGTGGTGTTTTTCCCCACCCGATAGCACCCAGTGCCTTTGACCATCAGGCCAAAAAACAGGCCTCCGATGGCGACGCGGTGGATGCATCTAAGGTGAAGCGGTTGCACAAGGTGTGGTTACTAACGGCTTCTGTTTGCACTGATTCTAACATGATCAGCAAGATACCAGCGCAGCGGAGAGTAGTTGTCGTTCAGCGTTGTTGTTTAACGTAACGCTTTAAATCGTACCGTAAGCGTGGGCTTGCCAGGAATTCACGTTTTCATTTCGGAGATGCTTTGTTGTCTTGGCTAGGGTCGGGTAATTTATTTTGTGCTTGAACAGGTATTTTTCTTTTAAATATTTAAGATGAAATTGATTAACTGGGTTTTGTCACTTGTTATTGAATTTCTTTAAACTTAAAGTGTAAAACAACCGTAGAGTAATTGTGTTTGCCAATATACGGGGTTTGTGTGTTTTTCAAATTTGATACAGTACAGTACGAAGGTTTTTGGGCCAAAATGATTGTGACGCGTAAAGTTACATGAAAGAAAGTCTATTACATTTTGGTCGATGAGAATTAAAACATCACAAGCAAAACCCCATAAAAGCATCTATCCCTAGCAAGCCTACTCTACAGTGTACGTCCTAACTTAGCGCAGTCACGTTTTAGATGAGCGCTGGTTCTCGTGTTTAGTTTTAACGCTATGACGTCTCGTTGAGTTGCAGTGTGGATTTTTTGCCGTGTGTGTTTGCAGTGTTTTTTTCTCCTTTGCACTGCTTTTTTATTATCCCTACGCTTCCTTTCCTCCTCCTCCTCCGCTGCCTCTTATTGCATTCTCCTTTTACTATTAAGTCCCCAACTCCAAATGGGACTGTAGCGCCAAACGTTCATAAGCCTTGCGCGGCGGAGCGCCAGGCAACCCTGAGAAGAGGAACCCGGTGAGGGGGTGGGGGGGCAAGGAGAGCAAGCGTCAAAACCGATGAGCCAATCCCCGTGTGAGGAGCTTGCCGACGCACCTTCGAGCCACCAAGCGGAGGGGTGGCTGCGGCGCCCCCTCTAGGCCAAGCCGCTGACGAAGTTGCCTCTAGGCCAAGCCGCTGACGAAGTTGCTTTTTGAGTGCGGCGGCGGTGGAAATCGGAGGGCGTGTGCCGTGTGGGTTGCTCCAACAAGCATGGTGTGTGGAGGTTTGTTTATTCGCAATTTTCAAAGTGACAATTGCTCGTTTGTGAAAAAAGTGACAATAAAACGGAAATGTAAAATGTGCATGCTGTGCATGAAAAGTTTGCAGTGCAGTGAACGGTCGCATCGCGTACACACACGTCCGCGGAGCATGAAACTTTGACGGCATGCCCTGGAATGAAGAAAACATTGCGTGGGTTTTATCCATGATTTAAAGTTCCAATCTGGTTCTCTCCACTTAAGATGGAACACAAAACCGAAGCCAGTGCTTGGAAATCGCACAGTGTCTTGCGTGCAAGCGTGCAAGTCGCCACATCTGCAGGCGCTGCATCATCGGTTTCCAGCCACAACGGAAGCATGGAAACGCTTCCTCCTCCGCCCAGCGACCTCCTTCGCGGCTCCCTCGACTTCCTCCCACCTCCGCCGCCACCTCCCCACCAGTCCAGCAAGTCTCAGACTCCTGTGCGGACCTCGGCAGCCGCCTCCCCAGAGCCGGGCTTTCTGACGGTGCCCCAGGAGAGAGCGGCGATGGCACCATCGCCCGAGCCTCACGCCCGTGTTGCCTATCAGCAGCAACGCCAGCTGAACGAACTGCGGAGGCTCTACAAGCACATCCACCCAGAGGTGCGCAAGAACCTGGAGCGAGAGTGCCTGCGTGACCTGGTGGGCTCCTCGCAGGGCGGCGGCGCAGCGCAGGCAGGCGACCCGCAGCAGACACGTTGGCTGTACGAGCAGGGCCTGGCGGGGCCGAGCCCGCCGCCCCCACCACAGGGGGACCGCGAGTGTCTGGAGTGGGACGAGATCCTGCGTGGAGAGGTGCGCTCGATGCGCTGGATGTTTGAGACTCAGCCCCTGGACACGATCCGCGAGCCCAGCACGCCCGACCCGAGCGCCGGCGGCGGTGGCGGTGGCGGTGGTAGCGGCGATCCGATTCCATGCGGCGACGTGCGCTACACAGCGTGGAAGTTCGAGACCCAGCCGCTGGACAGCCTCGCCGTTCACTCAGCCGACAAGGCGACAAAGATGCCGGAGCTGGCAAAGGGGGACGTGCGCACCGCCACATGGCTCTTTGAGACGCGGGCCCTGGATGCGCTGAGTGGCGCCGAGGCCACCGAAGACGTGAGGAGCACGGTGACGGGCGGGGACGTCAGCATGGGCAGATACATGTTTGAAACTAAACCAATTTCGTCTTTGGCCCGGTGGGAAGAGGAAGAGTCGGACTTGTTGAAGTTGAAGTCCGAGCTGGAGGAGATTTTGGGGGGCGACGTCCGTAGATCCGTGCAGCTGTTCGAGTCGTACCCGCTGTGCGCCATTCGAGACAGCCAGGGCCACGTGCACCGCATCACGTCCGTGCGCAGAGAGGAGGTGGAAGAGTGCAGCCTCGGCGTGGAAGGCTCCGTCAAGTCGGCGCGCTGGCTCTTTGAGACGAGCCCGCTGGACAGCATCAACGCGAGCTCCTCGGAGCTGCGGATCGTGCGGGGTATCTCCATGGAGGACGAGCAGAAGGGCGGCGTGGGCAGAGCCCGGTGGCTTTTCGAGAACCAGTCGCTGGACACGATCAAGGAGGACACGGAGGGTGCGGAATATACGAAGGTGCAGAAGGTGATCGAGGGCTCTGATGTGAAGCGACACCGCTGGCTGTTCGAGACCCACCCAATGGACACCCTGAAAGATATTGCCGATGAGGATCGGCAGCAGAAGGAGGAGGTCATCGGGGGAGATGTCAAGTCCTCCCTTTGGCTGTTTGAGACCAGGCCCATGGATTCATTTGGTACTTTAATGGAGGTGGGAAAGTTGAAAACCGTAGAGACCTCGGCGGACGAGAGAGGTGATGTTCGACATGCAAAGTGGGTGTTCGAGTCGAGGCCGCTCGACCTGATACAAGAGGAGAAAAAGGAGATTGTGAAAACGGTGCAGCGCAGCGGTAGCGAGAGGGGGGAGGTGAAGTCTGTTAAAGAGGTGTTTGAGACCATTCCTTTGGGATCAATCCAGGACACCGAGAAGATCACCGAGTCGGCAGGCATAATAGGAGGGGATGTGAAGACAACAAAATCTCTGTTCGAGTCCGTTCCACTTTATGCCATCCGGGACAGCTCTGGCTATTACCACCAGGTTCAGACCGTGAGGAGGGAGGAGGTTTCAAGCGGAGATGTGAAGAGCTGCCGCTGGATGTTTGAGACCAAACCGTTAGACCAGTTTGACGAGGAGAGCCTTCAGAAAATCCAAATCATCAAGGGCATTTCCAAGGAGGAGCTGCAGGCGGGTGACGTGAAGACAGCCAAGTGGTTATTTGAGACGCACCCCCTGGACACGATAAAAAACGCAGATGAAGAGAGCGTCACCCAGCAGCGCACGGAGGTTCACCGAGGCGACGTCAGGATGTGTCGCTGGCTCTTCGAAACTCGACCCATGGACGCGCTGTATGAAAAGGTAGAAAAGCGAGAGGGTGAGAGCGAAGAGGAGGTTATGAAGGGCGACGTGAAGACGTGCACGTGGCTCTTCGAGAACCAGCCACTGGACACGCTCGTAGCAGACGGCGTCGCACACAAGCTGCAGGTGCGCTCGCTCAGGCAGGAGGACGTGGAGGGCAGTGATGTGCGCACGCGGAGGATCCTCTTCGAGACCGAACGCCTCGACAGCATCCGCGGCGGCTTCGAGGAAGGGCAGGACGTGAGGCGCATCACCAACATCGACGTGCAGTCGGGCGACGTTTCCCGCGTCAAGTGGCGGTTCGAGAACCACCCCCTCGACACCATCGTCGGGGAGTCTACGGGACAGAAGTTGAAGACGGTGCAGGCGGAGGACATCGAGAGAGGTGATGTGAACAAGTACACGTCCTTGTTTGAAACGCAACCGATTGGAGCCATCGGGGAAGATCCGGACGCGGTGAAGCTGAGGAGGACTGTCACCGACGTGCAAGGGGGCAACGTCCACATGTGCTCGTGGCTCTTCGAGAATCGGCCGATGGGGACCATACGCGAGGACCCAGAGGCGGCGCAGTTGGTCGGCACGGTCTCCGACGTTGTGGGTGGTGACGTCAAGAGCGGGCGAGTTGTGTTCGAGACTCGGTCGCTTGATCAGATCCGGGGCGACGGGTCGGACGTGTCCGACGCGACGAAGGAGGAAGTCATCGGGGGAGACGTGAAGTCGTTCACCATGCTATTTGAAACGCAGCCCCTCTATGCCATTCAGGACCGTGAGGGTCACTACCACGAAGTGGTGACGGTCAAGAAGGAGGAAGTGATGCGCGCGGACGTGAGCAGCGCGCGCTGGCTATTTGAGACACGGCCGCTGGACTCCATTGGCGCGGGCCAGGAGGTGCACGTCATCCGTGCGGTCACCCAGGAGGACGTTCAGAGTGGGGACGTGCAAACTGCCCGGTGGCGCTTCGAAACCCAGCCGCTCGATACGATCGCCGAGGACGGGAAAGTGTTGATCAGAACGGTGGACGACGTGCAGGGTGGCAATGTGCAGTCAAACACGCAGCTGTTTGAGTCGGATAGCGTCGATCGTCGGAAGTTCGTGAGAACGGTCAGTGTCAGCGATGTGCAGAGAGGGGACGTCCGGACATCTCGCTGGCTTTTTGAAACAAAAAATATCGACGAAATTGGGGAAAGCGCTTCTGAGAAGCTGGACTTCACCAAAGTTATAAGAGAGGATGTGAAAAGTGGCGATTTAAAAAATTCTCTCTGGCTGTTCGAAAATCATCCCCTGGACAAGATAAAGGAACAAGATGAAGAGACGACTGTCCGGGCGGAAGAGATCCAGGGTGGCGATGTGAAAACCACGACCTGGCTGTTTGAGCGCACCCCATTGCACAGGCTCGGTGATTCGGGCACGCACGTTGAAAGGCCGGAAATAGTCGGCAAGAACATTCGAGAGACCCTGCGGTCGTTGATCAACTGCAACGTGGTGGATTCTTCTCGCGGGATTTTGCTCGAGTCAAGCGACGTGGGCAACGTCAGAATGGCCATGTATAACCTAATGAACCCAGAGGCTCAGCCCCAAATTCAGAAGGATGAAATAATTCGTGGGGATATGCATAGCATTTTGCAGCAGCTGCTCTCCAGGAAGCGAGAGGACCACCAGAGCATTGTGATTGATTCGGAGGAGAGGGGAAATCTTCGGCAAACCTTAGAGAGGCTGATGCACCAGTCCTCTGAAGCCAGCACCGAGCGTGAAGAAGTAATCCGAGGAGACATCCGCCAAGCGATTGATCAACTTTTCAGTCAAAGCGATGCATCTGGATTGAGGAGAGGCATCCTTATTCAAGAGGGCGAAACTGGCAACGTCAAGATGACCATCTATTCCCTGCTGAACAGAGAAGAGGATTCCAGTCGCAGGGAAGAAGACGTGGTGGCCGGAAACGTCAGGGGGGCGATAAACAGCCTCATGACCTCGGCTCAGAGTGACACTCGCCATCAGAAAGTGCAGCAGGACGAGATACAGGGAGGAAACGTTCAGTTCTTCACAACCTGCATTGAAAGCGGAGCATTGGATTACCTGAAGCTCCTGCAAAAGCAAGGCACCGAGGAGGATGACGACGAATCAACTCGCCGAGCGCAGGAGATCGACATTGTTCCTGGAGATGTCCAGAAAACCAAGCACCTGCTGGAGCTGAGTGCCCAACAAGCTGTGGTTGTCGAAAAAGAAGAGGTGACCAGGGGAGATCTTCAGGCAACGCTTCGATCACTCGAGGATGCCGTCAACACCAAGACCTCGGTGGTCAGGGAGGATGTGATGAGAGCCGATCTCCGTGCCACGCTACAGTCTCTGCAGGAAGCCGTGAACACGAAGGTCGAGGTCGCAAAGGAGGACATCGTCAGAGGAGACCTGAGGGCCACTTTGCAGTCCCTGGAGGAGGCTCTGAATGCAAAGGTGGAGTCTGCGAAGGAGGACGTGGTGAGAGGCGACCTTGGGGGAGCCTTGAGGTCACTGCAGGAAGCCCAGCTGGCGGTGAGGGAAATCAGCAGAGAGGAGGTGGTCAAGGGAGACATCCACGCCACGCTGAAGTCCCTGCAAGAATCCATCGACTCCAAGGAGGAAGTGATTCGTGAAGAGGTGGTCAGAGGCAGCATTCGAGATGCGCTGGCATCGCTGCAGGAGGCGGTGAATTCCAAGACGGAAATGGCAGAGAGGGAGGAGGTGGTTAGGGCAGACCTGCGCACGATTGTGCGGTCTTTGGAGGAATCCCTCAACTCACAAGTTCAGCTCGCCAAGGAGGAAGTTGTGAGGGGGGACGTTCACGCCGCCCTCCGTTCGCTGGAAGAGGCGCAAAAGGCAGTGAGGACGACAGTCAGGGAAGACATGGTGCGAGGGGATTTTAAGACTGTGCTGCAGTCGCTGGAACGTGCCGTCAATGCCAAGGTGGAGAGCGTGCGGGAGGAGGTTGTGCGGGGCGATCTTCAGGCTGCAATAAGGTCGCTGGAGGAAGCTCAGAACGCACAGGTCGCCGTCGAAAAGGACGAAGTGGTGAAGGGGGACATTAGGTCCATTTTAAGGTCGCTACAAAATGCCGTCACTGCCAAGAGTGAGATTGCAAGGGAGGAGGCGACAAGAGGAGACATCAAGCAGGCGATCCGCTCACTGGGAGAAACAATTAATGCTAAAATAGAGATGGTAAAAGAGGATGTGGTGAATGGAGATGTCAGGGCTGCCCTGCAGTCACTGGAAGAGGCCAAGAATGTGGTGAGAATGACCGGGAGAGAGGACATAGTAAGGGGCGACCTGAGGAAAGTGCTCCAGTCGCTTGAAGATGCCGTGAACGCCAAGGTGGAAATGATTAGAGAAGACGTGGTGCGGGGAGACCTCCGGACGGCGCTGAGGTCTCTGGAGGAATCGCAGCGTTCGCAGAGCGCGGTCGAGAGAGAGGAGGTGGTGAGAGGAGACATCAGGAGTATCCTAAGGTCTCTCAACGAGGCCGTTAATTTGAAAACGGACGTGACGCGAGAAAACGTCGTTAGGGGCGACATTCAGATGGCGATCCGGTCCTTAGAGGAAGCGATTAATGCTAAGATAATGATGGTTAGAGAGGATGTTGTAAGAGGGGACCTTCCAGCTGCCCTCCATTCGCTGGAGGAGGCTGTGAACGCGAAGATAGAAGTCGTTCGGGAGGAGGTCATCCGCGGAGACCTTCAAGCCGCACTGAGGTCTTTAAACGAGGCCAAAAATGCAGTTGCAGCCAAGGAAGAAAAAGACATAGTCCGTGCAGATCTCCAGACAACTCTGCGGTCACTGCAAGACTGGCAGAAAGGCAGCTTAAAGGAGAGCGATAGAGAGGACGTTGTCAGAGCTGATCTGCAGGCGACTTTGAGGTCTTTGGAAGAAGCGCAGCAGGCTGTGAAGGTCGCTGAGAAAGAAGAGGCGGTGAGAGGGAACTTGAAAGCAGCATTGCAAGGTTTAGAGGAGTCGAAGAAAGCGGTCCGAGAGACTCAGAGAGAAGAGGTTGTCAGAGCGAACATTAAGGCCGCAAAAAAGAGGCTGATCCAGTCGCAGAAGAAGGACATAAAAAGGCAGGTAGATATGGAGGAAGAAATTCAGAATATCCAAAAGCAGGCTTCGCTTGAGCAGACTGATCAGAGTGACCATGAAATATTTCAAAAGGTCGTTCAGAAAGAACAACCTACTTCCACAATCAATGTAGATCTGACCACCGACACCCGTAACACAAAATTGAGCGAGCAAGTTGAAGAAACGAAGCATATTACAAAAGAAGAGGATGCCCTCGTGAAAGGAGTGAAGCCCAAATCTCACCATTATCACAGCCAAAGTGCATCGCGGAAGGTGGGAAAAACCTACGAAATGATCTCCGCAGAAGAATTTGCTCGTCATACTCAACAGCAAACCACGCACAAGAGAGATGAAATGAACCGACAGGTAGAAGTGCAAATCAAGAAACAGGAGACGGATCAAACAGACAGAACCGCTGGTAAAATAAAGGCTGAGAAGTCTGTGCTGGGAGATGAAAAGGCCAAAAGCCACCTCGTCGGACATTCTCCATCGCAAAGCAAAGTGCAAGTGATTAAAGTTAAAAAGATCCAACCGTTGGCCACCGACACGAATATTGCAGCAAAGCATAACGCAAAATCTGAAGTCGATCAGCGGTCATCCATCCAGGGAATCGCAAGTTCCAGTCAACAGCAAATAATTAGAAAGAGCGTTGTTAAGGAAAGCCGTAGGGTTACGAACGTGTCCGAGGAGAGCACGGTCAATGTGAGCCACAAGGAATCCAAGACATCCCACAAAGACACACACAAGGGGATGGAGGAATGCGCGTCGCAGCAGGTAGTCGGCATGTTGTCCTCCTCCGAGCTTCAGCATAAGAGCAAGGCGAACGTTTTTGGAAAAGATGTGAAACAAAAAACCACTGTGAGCCTGCCATTTGGCTACAAAAAGAAGGCCGTGGAGCTGAGCCTGCTGCCTCCACCACCCCTTCCTCGGCCGGTACCCTTGACCGAGGAGGAGCTGCCACTTCCGCCACCACCGCCTCCCATGGAAGTGGATATTGACTGCCCTCTGCCGCTGCCTCCGTCTGCGGCCGAGGCCCTTCCGGACGACTTGCCTCTGCCTCCTCCGCCCCCGGCTTTAGTTCCGCAGGCTGCCCCTGTTACCGCCCAGCTATCCAATACCAAGACGCAGTCGAGTCGTGCAGCTAAGAGTTCATTCAAGGTGAAGACGATGAACCTCTCCACTCCACCGCCCTCCCCGTATGGGCCAATACCGTTCAAGAAGAAGAACTACCCGTCTACTCCTGCGTCTCCCTCGACGAGTGCTGAGACGTCATCATCGTTGATGTCATCATCGGTTACGATAATTCCCTTGACAACGCAGGTCACTGAGGTAACAAAAGTGAAGATTTCTCCAAAACGTGCCGATGCCAAGATCGACGTGAAGACGGCGACGTCGCTGTCGACTTCGTCGTCGTCCCAGCAACAGAGAAGCTCGACGACGAGCGAGATGCTGGTGCGGACGCGCACGGACACCGAACAGACGCAGAGCGAGCACGCACAGGTGACGCAAACGGGGAGCGCACTTGGGGAGTCTAAACAAAAGCAGAGCGTGCAGGTGACGCAAATGGGGAGCGCGCGTGGGGAGTCTAAACAAAAGCAGAGCGCGCAGGTGACGCAAACTGGGAGCGTGCATGGGGAGTCTAAACAAAAGCAGAGCACGCAGGTGACGCAAATGGGGAGCGTGCACGTGGAGTCGACACAGAAGCAGAGCACGCAGGTGACGCAAATGGGGAGCGCGCGTGGGGAGTCGACTCAGAAGCAGAGCGCGCAGGTGACGCAAACTGGGAGCGTGCATGGGGAGTCTAAACAAAAGCAGAGCACGCAGGTGACGCAAATGGGGAGCGCGCGTGGGGAGTCGACTCAGAAGCAGAGCGTGCAGGTGACGCAAACGGGGAGTGCGCACGCTGGTGCCGTCGCATCGGCGAGTGAAGAGCATTGGACACGGCCCAGGGTGGCGATTCCGCAGGCCGAACCGAGAAAGCCAAATACTCCCACACATGGCAGCCTTCCGGTGACCATCGCTATTCCCACGTCTCCCCTGCCGAGACCAAAGAGCGCCAATCGAGGCTTCAAGACGCCTTTAATGATTGCAGAGGAGAACTTCAGGAAGCAGCAGCTGGAGAAGGGAAAGTCCGTGGGCGCCTCCCCTCCGAACTCGTTCGTCGCTGATGCGATGAGCGAGCAACAAGGACAAGTGGTCATCGTCGCACCGCTTGACCAAGACGTGTTGGCCGCTTTCGACGTGTCGTCCGTTTCCAACGCGACGGTGAGCAAAGCCACCGTGATGAAGAAAGAGGCGGCGAAGAATATTTCGCAGATACTGAGCCAGCACATGGGCGAACCGAAGGTCGTTTGTGTGACCGAGGACCGGAAACAAAACGTAATTGAGACTCACCCAGTGCCTGAAGTAACTCAAAAACAGGAGCAATCCCACGTTACTTCCACAAGGAAGGTTACTCTGCACAAGAAAGAAGAGGGTCAGCAGAACATTGAGAACAAGCCAAAATCTACGGACAAGCAGGATGAACTTCGCAAGCTTTACCACTTGTCGGAGACCGGGAAACAGCCCCTGCAGCACCAAGTGCAGATCTCCTCGGGCGCGGCTCAACAGCTGCACCAGCAGCAGATGGCGTCGTCGTCATCCCATCGCGTCGTGACAGAACAGCACCACGAGGAGCGTGTCCAAACGTCTCAGCAGTTCTCCTCCAAGACGACGACGCAGACCAAAATCAAACAGCAGCAGCAGCAGCGGACGGAGCACGGCCAGGATGGATTCAAAAACCGAATGACTCCGGAGCAACTTGGCACATTCGAGAAAAAATCTGTCCCTGGCGGGGAGCCTCGAGGTGAGTTCAAAGCCGACAAGCGTGACGCTTCTGCTGGGGGGTTTGCTGGCAACTGGGAAAAGTTGGAAAATGGGTATAGGGCTGTAAGCGCAGAGATGTTCGGCAAAGCAGAATCGCCGTCTGACGTGATGCTTGAAAGACCCCTAGGGCACAGGATTCGCACCATCAGCATCGGCTCGAGCAAAACGACGCCCGAGCCGCCGGCAAAGACGATCGACTCCAGTTCGATCGCAGAAGAAATGGTAAGTGGCCGACGGTCTGTAGAGGAGAGCGTAGCCTTTCAGCGCCGTGTGACGTCTCCGTCTCCCGTCTTCATCACCATCGAGTCCACGGCTCGAAAGCCAACGGACTTTAGACTGCCATTCCGAACCCCTCCGTCTCCTCCGCCTCGTAAGTTCTTCAGCCCCGTGCCGCCGCCTCCGCCCCTAGCCCTCTCCCCGTCCCAGCTGAGCGCCCGCACCCCGTCGCCTCCGTGTCAGCTGTGGGCCACGTCGCCCTCCAACAAGCGGCGCTCGGACCAGCTGACCAAGCTGCGCGACGCGACAAGCAAACTCTCGCAGGGCGTCCCCTCGAGCCCTCCGCAGCTGAGCCTGGGTCACGTGACCACCAAGCGCTCGGAGATAATCCCGTCACCGCCGACGCTCCGGAGGCAACTGAATATAGGTGCGGCCGTGCCGGATCTTCCACCCGCGGTCGGCAGGACGCAGGCACCTGGGGCTAGCGAGGCAGGATCTCCCCTCACGCCGGGCAAAGTGAAAGACATCAAGGGCATGTTCGAAGAGGCAAAAAGAATAGAGGATAATAGAGCATATGTCCGTAAGGAGCCGATAGGTATCTCTGAACGTTTGGCGCCGGAGCCAGATTGCACCGGCACGCCCAGTCCAAATCCTCCACTTACTCCTTCTCCACATCCTTCAGCACAAAACGAAATGCCCAGAGTAGACTTTACGGGACTTGTTCACAGATTTGAGAGCCCAGAGCACACCGTTTACACCCGGAAAGACCCCATCGAAATCCCCGAGCGTTTGGGGAGTGACAGTGAGGACGAGTTGATGCAAAAGAAAGGGCAGCTGGAACAAATCCCCACCATTGACATGAAGTCCGTGAGGACCAGGTTTGAAGGCAGCACCCAGAGCAGAGTGCAAGCGTCGGCCTCGTTCCAAAGTAGCTCGCACAGCAGCAGCAGCACGGTGCTTAAGCAGCAGAGGCAGGCGGCGGGACATTTCGAAAGTGACTTCCGAGGGTTCGAAGGCGATGTTAGTGACCTCTCCGACGGCTCCCGTAGCAACACTCCCCAAAAAGGCCCACTGAGCGACCGAGCCCTACACAGCCACCACCAACTGCCACAAGTCCGGCCCGCGAGCCAGCAGAAGAACCCGCCGCACGTCGTTGCCGACACGGCCGAGAGGTCGAGCGCTCGCGGCAAGAAAACGTCCGCGGTGGCGGTAGCGGTCACGGCGACGTCATCGGCGTCGAATCCTCCCGGGCGGCAAAAGCCCCCAAAGTCAGAGACCCCCATGCAGCCATTCTCCCCTCCCTGCTACGAGGACGCGGTGACAAGGAGAGCGCGCGACCTCCGTGGAGAAACGGCCGTCTCATCCGCCTCAGAGCAGCTAACCGAGAGTCACACGTCCCTGCTGAGGAGCATGGCAAACGACCTGAGCAGCCTGGAGCAGAGCCTGCAGGAGGCGGAGCGAATGCTGTGGAGCCTGGGCGGTTCCTCGGAGCAGGCGGCTAGCTCCGCCGCCGCCGCCCCCCCTCCCGCAACTGCCAGCCTAGCGGCAAGTCTGTCGGCTGGCCCAAGGCCCGAAGCCAGCTTGGCTTCGTCTCGGATCGCCCCCAAAACTACCGGTAACATAAGACTGTGAGCGGAAGAGCATGAAACCCGTTGGGTGCTGCCTCCCGGGGCTGTCCTCCCCCCTCCTCCCCTCCCCCCAAAAAGGCTGACGGCATGACGAGGATAGGTCTAACGTTCACGGCACCCGGCGATTACTGCTTGCTGAACTTTCTCTTTTATCGAAGCTCCCTATATATATTCTTTTCCTTTTTCGTGCATTGCTTTGCCGTCTTGGCTTGGTCTGCTGCCGCTTGTAGTGAACTGCAGGCGCGGTCCAGTTGTGTTTTATATACTGCTTTTGTTACGTTTTGGTTTGACCCAGTAGTTGTAGTCGATTGTGCAATGTGATGGATGGATGTAGTTTGTTGCGGATTTTGTGCGAAGTGAAAGTGCATTGTGTTGTCAAATGTAATTTTTGCTGTAACTGCAGTGGTTAAAATGACTGTCTCATTCACACTCCCAGAACGTTTCTGTCCTATTTATAAATTTGTAATATTTTAAGTTGGTAGTTTTTGTTCGTTCCAACACTGGGAAATATAACCCTGCAATAAGTTAATGTAAAAAAACAGAACAATTTTTTGGTTGCATTTTATTCAGCACAACTGTAGAATATCATCCAAAAACATGGAAAAGGTTATCCCCTAATATTTGACTTAATATGCTATTTAGACATTCCGTATATATCGTATAAATCGACATGAGGGAGCAGTTGCGCAGTAGGTTTCCGTGCACCGCGCCACGAACCTGGTGAGCCAAATTCGATTCCTGGCCATGGCTAACGTCGGTGGCAAAGTGATGTTTGAACCGGCCCTTTGCCAGGGCCCCCCTTTTGTTAACTCTCACCCCTTACCCAAAATGGGGAAGTATGACCAAGCAACCCCAGTGACAGGCATGGCATGTGGAGGCCTGCAGCCAGCGATGGATTCAACAAAGGGCCGCATATGAACTAATTAAAAAATAAACATCCGTGCTTGTGTCGTCTTTAAAATATTTTTTTTTACGTTGAAAAAAGAAAAGGATAATAACAATGATGATGATGATAGATGGGCTGGTTTAAACAGTCATGCGTTAGCGATTTGAGCGGTGGGAATGAGACTCTGCCACTGCTACCACGTGGCTCCGGTGGCTGTGGTTGGCACTCGCGCTACCGCGTGTCCCAGCGCCCACGGGGGTGGGTCGCCCTCGTTAACGCTGGCGCGCGACTGATCCCCGGCAGAAGTTCCAGTCTCAACCAAAAGAGGTCTGCACGGGCTGTCAAAAGACAGTCTATCCCATGGACCGGCTGGTGGCCGACACAAGGGTCTACCATAGGCTCTGCTTCCGCTGCTACCACTGTTCAACCTCGTTGAGGTGAGGGGAACCCGCATCGTTTTGCTTTACACAACTGACAACCACAACAACCACAACAACCACAACAACCACAACAACCACAACAACCACAACAACCGCAGACGCCACTCGCCATTGAAGCCGCAGAGACGTCGTCGCGGCGCTTGTGCCAGGCTACGTGAAGGGTCGAAGGGCTTTGCTTGCAAGCGGTCGAAGAACAGGCAATTGGTTTACACATTTGAGTTAACAGTACACAACTGACGCTCGCACGCAAACTATTTTGTAAACAAAAAAAATCCATATTTTTTTTCTAATTGCGTCATTCGCTTCATGCGACGAGACGGGAAATATCCGTTTGGAATCCGTCATACCCATAGTTGACAAGCACCCACACACACACATTTAATCACATCTCATTTTCAATTACCGTGCTGTTTGTAAGATTAGCCAAATATGGGGGTGAGGCGGGGAGGGGGGGGAATATTTTCAAACACCCGCCAATTAAATTAACCATCGGGGGACATTGGTGCTATTAAAGCGTGGTCATCAGACTGTCCTTGCCTGATGCGCCAGTCTTAATCCATTGTGTCCTGTTCCACTTGTATGCCAAGGTTTGTGTCGTTCTCTTTACGTGTCACCATCCTCCTTGATCACGTTTTTTTCTGCCTTTGCAGCCTCTGTAGCTATGCATCTCTCCATGGAAACGTTTACTGCAAGCCGCATTTTCAACAACTCTTCAAGGCCAAGGGAAATTACGACGAGGGCTTTGGCCGCAAGCCACACAAGGATCTCTGGGCCCAAAAGGAGACCCCCAGCAAATTCGCATCCTCCGATTCGTACTCCGGCGACGCGGCCGACGAGGATGATCCCCCGCGCGACGACGACAACAACGACGACATCGACGCTGCTCCCCGCTCGCTGCAGAATTCCCTCGCTGAGCCTACCAAGGAATCGGAGAAACCCCTCTTTCTTGACCTGCCTGCCAGAGCCGACCGGAGCTCGCTCCCCAAAGATTCGACCGAAGACGCAGACGAGCCCGTGCCAGGCAAGGCGTCGCCCGTGCACGCCAGGGAGCGGTCGTTCCAAAACCCCGACGTCTCGCCGAGCTCGGGTGGCCGGGTGGTCGACTCGTCCGGAGAAATTGTGGAAAAGTCCAAATTGAAGACCACTTGGCCACCGGAGAAGACCACCGAGAAGAAAGCTCCCGCCGTGGAGGAGGACATCAAGATCGTCAAGCCCACGTGGCCTCCCAAGGGGGAAGCAAGGAAGACTGAGCCTCCGCTGTCGCCCACGCTCACGATGAAGAAGATCGGCGACCTGCCCATTAACAGATACTGCGAGAACACCGAGAGCAACACCAAGAAGGCGGGCCAGGTCAAGTACGAGATCCTGGACGAAGAGATGCCCTCCGGCATCTTCAGCAAGATGGTGGGGAAGCTGAGGGAGATCGCGGAAGACGGGGGTGCCTACAGGGTGCGAGACGGCGCCTCCAATAGCCCCTCCGATCATGGCGCGCAGAAAAAATGCGGCAAGGCCTCCCCTCTGGGCGCCCGGAATGGAAAGTGCGAGCCCGACGACTGTGAGAACGAGGATCCGGAAATGTCTGCGGGCGAGACGCGGGATGGCGACCCGTCTTCACCGATGTACGAGTCGGTTGATGGCGTCGAGGCGGTGGAGAATAACGGCTTCGGGGAGGACTAGCATCGTCCTGCGTCGCACCGTCGCACCGTCGCACCATCGCCCTGCATCGCACCGCGTCGCACCGCCGACGTCACTTCCAGCGTCTCTACAAGCCTGCACGGTGTTGCTGATCATGTTGTCATCTCAGGGTGGGCACCGCGGGCAGACGACGTCGCGATTGTTCCCCGCTTGGCTTGTCGCGTCGACGGAGCTCGTCGACGCTTACGAGGTGGATGCTTGCAGTTCATTACAAATGATGATAATGGTAATGTTTTTATGGAAAAAAAATCTTACCGCTTTCTTTTTAATCCGTGATTGCATTGACGGTGAATAGCTTACGAATATTTAGTCACATTCTTAAAATAATTGTCGTAATTATTTTCTTTGTCCCACAAGATGTTGAAAATGCAGCAGGGTCCATATTTAATCTTTTTTTAATGAAAGAATTTTACTTTCACGATGAGGCCTTTGACAGCAATGTTAATTTTTTTTTAACTCTTTTGACCGATCGGCTTCTTCCATGGGAAGGTGCATATGCCATTCGCAGTCGTGCGCCGGGATCCACACGTCCGCGTAAAACGACGCCAGTGAGGACAGCGTCGTCACTCGGCCGTCTATTGTGGGGTTTATACGTACGTAGTTTTAGTTGGGATTTCGTTTGCAATCTTTGCACCTGGAGTGCACTGTCTTTCCCCCTCCCCTCCCCGACCCCCCCCGGCATGAATTGCAACGGTGTGTGTGGATTTTCAGGCTTCTGTCGTTCGATGACGCTCACGCTTGTCGTTTTTAAACCCAGTTTGTAAACGTTGCACAAATTTAGTACCGGGAAGAAAAAAAAATCGTATTCTTAACGTTAGCATGTGCAAGATATCTTAGGAACAATGATGACTTTGCTTTACAACACGCAGTATTAAATAAACATGTTTCTTTATACACAGCACCGTGATGATCTCTTCCTTCGTATGGTGGGGGATGCGAACGGATCTTAATGGAACGTACAAGTCGTAGCGGAATGCACCGGTATATCCAAATGGGGGTGAAACAAAAAAAAGGTGGCTAAGTGGCTCGGAGTTTAGAGCCTTGAGCCGCCACTGCTGAGAACTGCTGAGTTCATATCCAGGTGGCAGCCACCTGTTTCCTAAACCGAGTTCTCAAGTGGAGCAAGTTGATTGGTCTCGGTCCTAGTCCACCAATGGCTGCACAAACAATACATGGCGTGAAATTAATTGGTAATGCACTTAACTTCCCAAAATCACATCTCTGATATTTAAAATATCGGTTTATCAGAGGTCGCTTTCACGGATCTCCGAGGTCATTCCGTGATGTCCATCGCCAGGTAGTATTTTCTACCATCTTCTTGGTTCTTTCGGTAAAGTCACGTAGAAGGGAAATAATAAAATAATAAAAATAAAACATAATAAAATACAATTCTCAGGACGTTTCGGCCACAACGTAAGCAGCCGTCCTCAGGTGAAGAGCAGGGCTGTCGGAAAGACAGACGTCTTCAGACGCTGTCTTTACCGAAAGAACCAAGAAGATGAATCCCTGCAGTCACGAAGCTTTAAATCAAAATATTTTCTACCACTGCTTTGGGAGGTCCGAATTGGATGCTTGGTCTCGTGACATAACGACGATCGTGAAATGCGGTGAAAAGGGCAAAAACACAGTAACATTGGCCCAACGTTGAATGTTTACGAACAATTGCTTCGTGCTGTACGTAGCCAACCGTGCTAATTGGAGATGCGACAATACCGCGTTGTCCTGTCTACGCGCGGGCGCTCGTGTACAACCCCCCCACACAGGAGTCTGGCTAGGAGCGCACGCGGTGTGCAAGGCCCCCCCCCACACCACTCGCCCGGCTGCTGCAGTGCTCCCAACAAACACAAAAGCCATCAGCTGCGTGCGCGACTGCTCCCTTCCCTCCGAACGATTCGTCTTCACATTCGTACGTGTGATGTTGGACTTGCGACGTAGTCAGCCGCGCTAAATCGGAGGTGCCGAGGGTAGGACGACAAACGACAAAAAGAGCAGTGCTTGAAAGAAGTGAGTTTTCAATTTTTAGATTTCAAAGTGCGTAGCTCCAGTGATATCGGAAGGAAGAGCGTTCCAGACGGCCGCAGGAGCACATCTGAAAGCGCGCAATGCAGGCGCCCTCCTCCCGGGGAAGGACACTTGGGGACAGCCGCCCCAACCCCGCGTTTATTTTTGTGTGTGCGCGTGTGTTTGCAATGCGTTCCCGGAATTACAGGTGGCCCGTTAAACCAAAGGGGTGTTTCTCTTCATTAATTAACCTCAACCCAGGGGGGGGGAGGGGGGCGGAGGAATGTCTCTTCATTAACTCCACACAGAGGGGAGTGTCTCGGTGCAGGGTGTAAACACGGGGCAGGCATTCCGGAGATTGGTCCGGCAAGGCTCTTCGGCGGGGAGCTAACTGCCCGGTTAATCATACACGCAACGGCGACACTGGCGAATATTGCTGAGAAAGTCAAACCGAGGGGCGTCCGGCAACGGTTTAAGCACGTGACCTCGATGGGTCATCTGTGCTGCCCCCCCCCCCAACCCTCCTCTCCTTGCTGATAAACTCTTTTAAACAGCCTTTAAAACAATACTTTTTATTAATCACCAGTGGGTGGGAAGCGTCGGTTTGCACACTGCACTCTGTGGACCTGGCAACCCGAGTTCGATTCTTGACCACCGCTTTTCCAACCCGCACTGACCAGCACGGTGAGGAATGGTCACGCAACCTCAGTGATTAACGCAGTGTGGGGGAGGCCCTCATCCAGCAGTGGATTTTAGAACTCTCCACATCGTGACCTACGAACCTCCTCCTCTGTACCCAGGACCAGGATCGCCACTGGGGGGGGGGGTGGGGGGGACATGGTGCTCTACGCTTCAGGAGTCTCTTGTTGAGTTGTTTTTTAAGGCTTTACAGCTAAGGTTGACCACGTTGATTCAACGTTGACCACGTTGATTCCACGTGGCCGACCACGTTTACTCAGCCAAGGTTGACCACGTTTATTCATTAAGCTCTATACTCTTTGGTTCTTTCGGTAAAGTCACGTAGGTATAAAATAATATTTCCCACGTGACTTTACCGAAAGAACCAAAGAGTATGGAATCCTGCAGTCACGAAAGCCTCAAATCAAAATCATTTAAGCTCTGTCTGCCCATCTGTCCGTACATAACTCGGGGGACGGACGGTGAAAGGGGGCACGATAACTCTTGTAAGGGTAATCCTGTACGAATGAACCCGCAGTGGAAGAGTCGTGTTGCTATCAGGGACCTACCCTATTGAAGCTTTACATAATCCATACACGCAGCCAGATTTATTCTTCCCCCCCCCAACTTGTTAATGCGTAATCAATGTTCTTACGTGCTTTATAAAACAAGCTGATTCAATGGTTCAGTGGCCGGGCGGCTCAGCGGTCCAAGCCCTGGAGCCAGCAGCACTGGGCTCGTTGCCTCGAATCTGGTTCCATCCACCCGTGGTCAAAACTGGGTCCGAGGGTGAATTGAGCCGATGGTCTCGGCGTGGTCTCCAATTTTTCGCGCGGCAAACAAATGTGTTTAACTCGGATGGTCGATTTAATTTGGCTAAAAATTACAGATCTGACGGTGTGACGAATGTGCTCTGCAGGGCACAGCGCGTGAAAGGGTTCGCCGTTAGCGTGGTTTGTAAGGCCGACTTGAAGTGAATCAGAAGTAGTTCTGTTTCATCATCTTCCACGGCCACACCCTGGCAAGGTGGTGCTCTGATAGGTGCCGGAATTCCAAATAAAAACGACACTGATGACGTGTTACCAACAGTACGAGAATTGGGCAGAGAAATTAAACCGCGTCGGTAAAACAAAACTTGGGGGAAAAAAGATGACTTCTCGACATCAAGCGTAATTTTTGTTTTATTTAAAATCGTGAGGTCCGTTGGACAAATTGTTAAAATTGCACATTTTCAGAGTAGACGGTGCCAAAGCATTGTTGAGTCTGTAAACATCAACCGACCGACAGTTATGTCCACGTTTTAAAAACAATGGTACCATTGTAGACTTCCACCGCACACCACTCCCTCTGTAGCCCCTCGCTCCACTTAGAGTCTCGTCGTGAAAACCTTGAGGCTGCCCTTCGCCGCGCCGTTCTGCGCCTCTCCTGCCTTCTTCAGCTTGGCCCTACATGACACCAGACACAGGCACCGCGGTCAAGTGAGCAATATGCACAGAGGACTTTATCCATCCAGGCAGAGAGCGGACCCTGACTGCCTCCATCACGGCAACAGCCAAGTTGCTTTCCCAAATCTCGGCAAATATGACCCCGAATGGATAAATGGAATGGCAACTACAATTCAGGTCAAAGACAGAAGTCCTCGAGCTACCAACGGTTCGTTGCTCAGTAGACCAAATGATTGTCCATCAGAAGCACTTTTCAACAAAACCCCGTTGTCACCGACAAGACGTGACAATCGCCCGGTGACACTTTTCCCCGTGACGCACGCCCAACTTGCAAAAGGTGTTAACCCCACCCCCCCCCCCCCCCCAAAATAAATTGTTGGACACGTACGTGTGCGCGAGCTCTGCTTTGGTCGGTAGAACGTCGGGCAGCTTGACGTTCCTGGTCTCCGGCAGCCACAGGCAGAGCAGCGAGCTGACGAGCACGCCGACGCCCACCAACGTGAGCGGGATGACGCGGTGGTAGGCGCCGAGAAGGGACACCATGGGAGCCAGAATTCCACCCAGGCTGCCCGACATTGCCGACATCCCCAGTCCGTTTTGTCTGTCGAGACGACGTCAACGGTCTGGGGTAACTGGGCCGTCGTGTCGGGGCCACGCTCGCGCACTTGCGCGCGGTCGGCATTGCACGCGTGGAACATTGTCAGTGGAAACGGTGCGTCTGGTGGAGGACACTGCTGTTTATGTGACGCGTACATGAACAGCTCTCGTCAGGCCTCATCCAAATGCTGGATGAGGGCCCTCACCGGTGGGTGAGGGCACGGGCAGCATAAACATGGGAACATAGAAGTACAATACGACAATATGTTTTGATGCGCTAAATTATTCTACCCACAAAGTCGCTGTGCAGTAACACACTTGGGTCATTTACAGGCAACTGTCGCCAACAAACGTGTTCACTCTGAGCATCCATTGCAACTCGGTACGATAACGGCATAGAGTGACGGAGTCGTGTCCAGTCAGGGACAATGGTGTTTTTTTTATATCTATCGTGTTTGATGAACAATGCTTGGTCTACAAGAAAGGGCAGCATCTCATGTGCCCCCACACGTGTTCGTGCTGATGCTCGTGTGGACTCCCGTTCAAAAGCACCAAAGAAAGCTGAACTCCGATTATACGGCGAGATGAGGCGCGCGAACGTTGTACTTTGTCCGCGGGGCTGTCTATGGGGATGCCCTCTCCCTCCTACCGGTGGGTGGTGGGGAAGAGCTCTGTCGAGTAGACCAAGAGGACGGAGAAAGCGCACGCCATGCACGTCTTCACCAAGACCGCCATCACCGTGGTGACCACTCGCAGGTCTGTCCCAATGCCACCAGCACCGACACAATCACGGCCATCGCCACCACGAGCACGACCACAACAGCAGGAGGGGAGCCCCCACCGTTATCCGTGGTGATGTTGTGGGGCAGTCGCTTCCACGCATGAAAGGATAGCGAAGATCGTGTATCGTGTTGCAAATCGCAAAAGGGCTGGGAGTGGCGGGGCAGTGGTTAGCGCATTCTGCAATGTACATGGCAGTCCCTGGGGCCCTAGCCCCCCCGCCCCCCATCCACCTTCAACCAATAACCCACAGTGACCAGTGTGGCGATGCAGTGTGTGGTGGCAACTTGGACAGGGTGGCCTCTCACCATCAGGGATGAGCGCGAGGATGATGCAGGCCAGGCCCCCGACCAACTGGACGGTGAACATGCTCGGCCGGCGACCGAAGCGCTCCAAAAACCACGGCAGGCAAAAGCGGGCCGGCGATTCGGTGACGCCGAAGATCATCTGGGTGAGGTAGATGCTGAGGCCAAATCCCGTGGAGCTGAGGCTCAGTTTGTAGTAGGACATGCTCACCATCAACCTGCAGAGAGGTTCATGCTTCAGCAGACGGACAAAACAATACAGAAATAAACAATTATTTCCATTACGCCAAGAGTCTGTGTGGATGGCAGATTTTCGTTTTCCTTCTTGGTTATTTTGTCTCCCTTCTCTGCTCGTGATGTCCATCATCACCCTCTGCTTCATTTGTTTCACTCCAGTCACCCACCTCCTCATTCGCTCTTCTATCGCTACGACCTTTCGCTACCGTTCCCATGTAACCTCACTCATCGATGACTACCGCCACGTTGAACACTCGGTCTACCAGACTGGCTGACTGTATCGTCTCGTCCACGCTGTTCAACCACCACCACCACCACCAGCCGCATTGAAAGTCCCAACACTTCTCTCTCTCTCTGCTTGTTTCCTCTCAATGTCCGACTTTGGAATTGCCTCCCCCATTGTCTCTCACCCCTCCCCCCACCCCGGTTCCTATAACTGCTCAAATTGAGGAATGTCTTCACGGTCATATCGCGCCGGTTGCTGATGGGGTCCCTTGCCATGTTAGTCCTTTTGGTCAGTGCACAGCAACCATGATTTAAATAAACACACAATCGTGTTCCCTCTTATTATTGCCTCTAAGCTGTGGGGTGTTAGGCGACTGCCCGCCCCCAAACTCCCCCCCCCCCCCCCCCCGTATATGTAATGATTTATTAGGATTTTGATTTAAAGCTTTCGTGACTGCAGGGATTCACATTCTTGGTTCTTTCGGTAAAGTCACGTGACTTTACCGAAAGAACCAAGAATGTGATTTATTAGGATGTTATTGTCGCTTGTTCACTTAGGTCACCCTTGCCAGTGCGAAATAAGTTCAACGTCATACTACGGACATACACGTGACGAAAACAAAACTTAGTTCTGGGAAGGTTTTGCTCAAAATGTTAAGATAATTATAATAATTAGAATGTTAACTAACTGTGACAATGGGGAGGAATAATGGGTTCAGGTGACCCGTGAGGCCACTATCTTCGCAAGGATACAAATAATGTATAAAGTTGATTCTTTAATCTTAATCACGAGTCTTGACTTGGAACTGATTTAGGCATTCTCCAAATGATATGACACCCCCCCCCCCCCCCGTAATTTAAAGCAATCGTCAGAGGTGCGTCTTGTCATCCAGCGCGTCTCATAGTGCGGAAAATGTCGGCAATTGAATCGTGGGACGTGGAGGCAGACGGGAGCCCCGGGGCGGAGGGAGGCTGGGTGGGTGGGGGAGTGGATTTGTTACCCTGCTAATTTTGACTGTGACATCTCACCAGAGGTAGAGGATGGTCAGGGTGAGACGTCGCATGTGGAACGTTCTAAAGAGGTCGAGCGCGGACGTCGAGGACTTCTTCTTCTCGATTGACAGCTGGAGCAGGGGGACGCACAAAGACAGTGATCCCCCGTGTCGCCTCAAGCAGACTGTGTTGTTTAACACGTCGGCTTTCACGACCATTATTATTCACAATAAAGGTTTTTGGGTTAGATCGCGCAAGTGTAAATGTGTCCGTAACCCTCCACCACCCGACAGCCAATTAATAAGGGACTTGTCACGTAAACCAAACGCCAATTAGTAACTAATTCAGCCCACCGGTGTGTTGGAGAGTAAATCCACAACATTTACAATTTGAGTAGTACGACGTTTGAGACTGTTTTGGCAAGTGCTGTTAACCTTTTTTTGACTTAAAACTTTCGTGACTGCAGGAATTCATATTCTTGATTCTTTTGGTAAAGTCACGTAGATAGAAAACAAAAAATCTTAAATAAAATAATAAAATTAAAATTAACAATACAAATGTATTTTTATTTTCTATTCTATTTACGTGACTTTACCGAAAGAACCAAGAATATGCTGTTAATGTTAGCAAGGCACACGATGGGGTGGTGGGGGGGTCAGCACCGCGCCCGGCCGCACACTTTGTTTCCCCAGTAGCGATATTTGCACATTGCACCGGATACTCATTTTTGAGGTCGAGTCGACCTAGGGGAGGCCCAGGACCAGTTCCGATATTCGTCACCAATGTGGGCCGTGAACGGGAATCGAACTCTGGTCGCCGGTGTTGTAGCGCAGCGCGCTGACCACTACACTACCGCTGCCCACGCATGCAAGCAGCCAAGCAAACAGAAGTCCAATTGTAACTCTAAATCACCAGGGAGTGGGGGGGGGTGAATACAGTCGTTTATTGTCTAGTTTATTGGAATCTGTAGTGATGAATATTTTTGTACAGCATCCAAAAGCGGCCGCATTTCAAAACGCTCTACAGAAAGAGTTGGCATTCATTTTCGAGGGAGAGGCAGGCAGTGATGGGCAAGAGAACAGAAAGTCTTGAACTTGAACAGTGGCAGATAAAAGTGACCTCCCTTTTGAGCTAAGATTAATTGGGGGGCTCCAGCTGCAAGCCCTGTTGCTGGAGAAGGCAGCGCGTGGAGGGGAGTAGATATAGATGACAGGGAAGCATTAGGGCTTTCTGGTTTGGGAGGTTAACTCTTAGTAATGCCGACAGCACGTTGGCTATTCGTTTGTCAAAGATACCGATAGTCATGTGAATAGGCATGAGGTCAGCAACTCTGACCAACGGCTTAAAAGTGGAATCTGCTTCTATAGATAAATGCTATTGCCAAGACCAGTGAGAAATACCTTACTCAGAGGGTGCCCTTGCCGGGGTAGTCAAAATGCGACATGATGGGACGGTGGCTTTCTTGAACGATGTGCAAGTGTGTTAATGATTGTCGGGTCGCGTAGATGAGCCCGGCGCCGAAGTAAACCGGTCCAGCCCGGAGAATTTCGGCGCCGTATTAATAAGTTATTGACCCGATAAAGCATTTGTGAGACTCCACCAACAATAGCGAGCAAGGGTGACTATTTTTATGCCGCGTGTGTAATCTGCGCGGCCTTTTAATTCGTGAATACTGAGATGGCAAGCTGCAGGTCCTACAAGGACACATTCGAAGGGTCCTTTAGCCGAATGAGAACATGCTGAAATTGCGGGCCTCTTTTCTAACACAAATAGAAAAGGAAAAACACGGGGAAAAGTAAACGTGAAACAAACGAGGCTGCCTATAATGTAGATAGAAACAGACAGTGCATACAACTATAGGGGTGTATAATATACAGCAAGGCACCACATATTAGGTAACGAAATTTACATTCGCAGTGAAATGCTGACATAACAGTTTCCAGGGAACCAACCAAATTTGAATGTTAGACACGGGGATCAAAGTTAAGTCATGGAAATCCTCATTGGAGTTGTATCCATCGATTATACTAAAACTGAGTGACCAGGAGGCTCACGGGGGCTAACACGGGGGCGGAATTACGAGCATTGATAGCCTGAGTCCACATCTGGGTACCAGCCACCCGTGATAATGATAGGTCCTCGTCAGTTTGAGTGAATTATCTGAACCCAGTTACTAAAGACACCACCAACAAAACCTCGTATTTCAATGTACGTGTTCGTTTAATTTGTCACTTTCCAACTCTGAGTATTAACAATATCGCTTTGGCTGTCATGAGGCAATCGATCTCAAGGCAGTGTGTGTGGGAAATTGCACCCTCTGCTGCGCGTAGGATAAAGCGCTCACTTGAAGAACTTTTTGACAGGAGTCGAGCGAAAGAGCTATCCCACGACCGTTCTCTGGACACACAAGGAGTGCAACGACTTTGCGACACTTCCGAGGGAATTATTTACTTGGTGACATGACACCGTTAACACAATCGGGATGCGCCGGGGGGGGTGGGGGGCGAAAAAAATTCTACTCCCCCAAAAAAGCAACACGAGATCTTGCCCCAATCGATACCTGGAACCCGCGGCGCGCAGCGAAGAACTCGGGTGGCCAAAACACTCTCACCGTGTCCACCATGTGCGTGGGTAGGCTGACGCCATTCTGCTTGGCCGCTTCCATGATGAGTTTCTTGGCGCGATCGTGGTCCCCCCTCATGTAGAGCCACCGCGCCGACTCGGGAACGATGCTGCCGCGCCACGCGATGTCATCGGCAATGATCGGCGGCATCGTCATTAGTGGCAATGCCCTCGGCAACATCGTTATCGGTAACAGCAGCACCAGCATCATTAAGAACATCATATTACTATGGGAACCTCATTTGCCAGTAAAAATATGATAATTGGTTTTTTACCCGTTCTATCTGGCAACAAAACTGACACCTTTTTACAAGGAGTCATGTTTGCATAGACCGCAATACCTTTTGGCGTCATCTGGTCCAACCCATGTGAGACTAGGCTCTAAGGAAAGCTGTCTCGGGTGTGGACCAATCAACTTCAAGGACAGTGTACATTATCAGAGTTATGTCTTTTGTTTGGATTATGACTGCAGGTATTGCGGTCTATGCAAACATGACTCCTTGTAAAAAGGTGTCCGTTTTGTTGCCAGATAGAAGGGTAAAGAACCAATTAACATCATCTTTGCATGTGTGCACGTTGAACTTCGCACCGTACGTAACCAACCCTGCTAATCGGAGGTGCAGATTAGTACGGTTGGCGATGTAATGATCTACGCCAGCACAATCAGTCGGAAAATCATTCTCAGCAGTGTCAATATCATCATTATCATAAGCAGCATCAGCAGCAGGATCGTCATCATATTCATCGGCACCAGCAGCACTTTCAGCAGTGTCCTCAGCAGCAGCGGCATCAGTATGACCTCCGTCATAGTCACATCGCTGCAAATCCCTTATCGGTGTCTAACTTGTTACAGACCAATTAATACTGGTAGGATCCTCCTGGTTACACCAGCTCACAGGGGATCATTGTGTCCATCGTGCAGGGAGGGGCTGGGTGGGGAGGGAGGGGAGGGAGGGGCTGGGTGGGGAGGGGCTGGGTGGGGAGGGGTGGGAGGAGAGGGTGGGGCTGGGTGGGGAGGGGGAGGGTGGGGCTGGGTGGGGAGGGGGAGGGTGGGGCTGGGTGGGGAGGGGGAGGGTGGGGCTGGGTGGGGAGGGGGAGGGTGGGGCTGGGTGGGGAGGGGGAGGGTGGGCTGGGTGGGGAGGGGGAGGGTGGGGCTGGGTGGGGAGGGGGAGGGTGGGGCTGGGTGGGGAGGGGGAGGGTGGGGCTGGGTGGGGAGGGGAGGGGCTGGTCACCCCGTGGTGCCCTTATAAAACTCAATGTTTAACCTACTCACGCCGGCTTGTGCCCGCCCTCACAGTCGGTCATATTTGCAGAATACACCACGCCGCTGTTGACCCTGGCCATTGTCCGAGCAACCCAACGTTCCTACCAGCTCCCTCCGCAGGAATGTGTTACCTTACTGGTCACACGTGCCCTTATAAATCTCAAAATTAATCCTACAAAGTCCCATCGCAAGTGAAAAACACAAAGAAATAGACACAAAAAAATGCCCCGCACTGAAACGTCTGTACGCCGTATGGACCTGAAAACTCAATTTTCCTGTACAATACGGGTGAACCGTATGGGTTGACGGCTATGTAGTCGTCCTCATGCAGCACCACCATCAATACCAGCATCGGCATCATCAACATGAACATCATGAGCAGCCTGCGCGGCATGGGGAGGCCCTCATCGCGCGGCAGGTCGATGAACCGATGAACCGCGTGCCGTCGCGGTTTGCGAGAGCGTCGCGGTCACCACAAGTAGACGATGAAGGCCACGAAGGGGGGGATGGTGACGACGAGCTGGAACGTTCGCCAGTCGCGGATGAAGTAGGCCAGCGTGGCGAGCAGCACCTGCCCCATGCCCCGCGAGGCCTGGGGGACCAGGGCGGCCAGAGTTCTCGTGGACGTGCCGCACCACTCCATGACTGCACGCAGAACGAGAAATGGTTCCCCAGTATAGCATTAGCAGACTGTTGGGGCAAGTGCTGTTAGCGAGTAGGCCCGATGGAGGCCGGTGACGGCACACGAGGGAAGGGGTGGATGGCCGAAACCATGCCCCCGGCTGCCTTTTGTTTCCCCCGTGCTGATCACTGTGTAACAAAGACAAATATTTGTTTTGTCCCTGGGTAGTAAGTGTTGTTTCCTAATTGCTTATGCCTCAAAAGTGCAGAAAATGGCGATTATTCCCCACAAACTTTGCTTTTGTGACCAGGACAGTGATATTTAGGAATGTACCTATTTTCAATGAGAAAACGTGTGCATTTGTGTCATTCCTTCACGTGAAGTCCCGGTCACAAAAGCAAAGTTTGTGGGGAATAATAGCCATTTTCTGCACTTTTGAGGCAGAAGCTATTACGAAATAACACTTACTACCGAGGAACAAAGATCGTGTTACATAGTGAATTATTACCCACTGCACCAGGTACTCATCTGGCTGCGTGCCAACACACGGTGGCCACGCGTGTTGCTGGCATGTTGTTGGCGTGTTGCTGGCGTGTAGGTGTCGTGAGTCTCCACCACATGACCAAATCAATATTGATTTGAAGCGTTCGTGACTGCAGGAATCCATACTATTTCAGCAGATTTTTCTTGCTGTGGTTGTTCCACCTGATGACGATTGCTTGTGTTGCGAGCGAAACGTCGTGATCTATTATTTTTCTACTTACGTGACTTTACCGAAAGAACAAAAGAGTATGACCAAATCACTTTGCACGAAGACCGATCTCGTCAGACCTCCAAAGCTAAGCAGGATTAAAAGCCTGTGTAGTGCTGCCACGGGTGACCACCACCACACATCACGCAGCTGTTGCGGGCTACTTCCGGGCTGCATTGGACTGTGTTATGCTCCCACGTCGACACTGTCCGCCGTCACCAACCCACACTTAGCAGCACGGTGAAGAGTGCTCTGTTTACGCCCCGTGACCCAGTGCCGGATTAAGCTCAGTGCGGGGCCCTGAAGCATATGGTATAAAGGGGCCCTAAATAAAAAAAACACATAAATATTAAAAAACATGTTTTACTTGCATAGTAGAGTAATTGTATTTTTTTTCATTTGCCATAGAGCCAGATAATACGACATATCGGTAACCTTAAACGCCCAGTCGTTCATAAAGTTGAAGGCCGTATAGTACTCTAGTAATATAGCAAGTGCAGAATAACTGAACCGGAAATGACAGCTTGAAAGCATTTAGCGCGGTATCCTTGAAAGTGCATGGCCCGTAGCTACTACATACGTAGCTACTTTTGCAACTAGGATAATCCTGCACTGCCGTGACCCAAGGATCGGCAAACCTGCGGCTCCGGAACCGCACGCGACTTTTTGCGGACTGCTTCGTGACGTTGTTGATTAAGGACCAACCGCCGTCTTTGTGTTCACCACAGTGCATTGCGGCTCTTGAAATATTGAGGTTTTTTTGTTAGCGAATTCCCCCCCCCCCCCCCCCCCCAAAATGTCTCCTTTTGTTATTTTGGTTTCCGATCCCTGCCCGTGACCCCACACGGTAGGCGTAGGGTTAGGAGGCCCTTTATCCAGCAGTCGATTAACAGATAGGTCTCAGCGTTGTCCATGCCGCCGGTGTGAGCTCACCTATGGGAACCTAAATAACTATTTTACATAGCGAGGGGTAGCCAGGTGCCTTTTATGATCATTATTATTTAAGAGCAGGAAAATGGTGATCAGAGATTGGACCCCCGAGTCAACACGTTCACAGCGGTGTACGAGGCATGCCCCAAATGTTGATTCTGGCTATCTTCTGAACCGAGGAATTCAGCTGCGGTGTTGTGACGTGGAGGGTATATCTGATCGCTATTGCAGATACGCAATTGACCTTCTGAACAGGACTCTTGAAATAAAGTGCCGTCTCACACCCCCCCCCCCCCCCCGTGCTCAGCTGTTGTCGATGACAGAACACAATGCACAGGTCGACTCCTCGTCTACGAACTTTGTTGTTGTTATTGTTGTCGTCTATTTAGAAGACCTGTCTCCCCCTCGAAAGGAGTCACGATGGGAGGAGAGGGGAGGAGAGGGGACAGAGCGGACCGGCTACATACACATACCTGTCAACCCCACTGCGTATCTCATTACAGACAAATTCAGACCTTATTGGTCACCCCGTGCCCCTTTATAAATCTCAACGTTCATCCTACAAAGTCCCATCACAAGGGAGAAACACAAACAGATAGACGAAACGTGTTTTTTTTGTACTCAATTTCCCCGTGCAATAAAACGGGTAAACCATTATGGGTCGACGGACAATGCGTAGCAATGGAGCACCTAACGAGCTCGCGAACGTGAGACTCACTGAGCACGATGGGGTTGCCGAGGATGAACGACATGCCGAGGCCCACTCCGAAGCGGAAGACGATGTAGAGGGCAACGTTCGGGGAGAACGCGCTGCCGAGCCCGCAGATAAAATGCCAGAGCATGGCCACGACAATAAGTCCCTTCCGTCCGTACCTGCGAATGGGTGGGACACGCGTGCCGCGTGCCACATCATTCAACTCGCAGCTGGATTATGTTCAAGGTGGGGTGCGATTTCGCTTTGGTGCCCTCCACGAAAGGGAATCCCCACGAGTCGTACTGGGAAGGGAAACATTTATTGTTTCGGTAACGCACACTCGGTAACATAGACACAGATCCCCCATATAGACTTGATAGATTGTTGGGGCGAGTGCTGTTTGCGAGCACCTACGAAGGCCGGCACGGCACACGAGGGGGTGGGTGGCCAGCACCACGCCCGGCCGCCTTTGTCTCCCCAGTGGCGATGTTTCCACACTGAAACAGGTACTCAAATTTTTTGACTGAGTCGACCTAGGGGAAGGCCCAGGACTCGCTCATATAATCGTCACCGGTGTTGGCCGTGAGCGAGACTCGAACTCGGCTCGCCGGGTTCGTAGTGCGGCACCACCGCTGCACCACCGCTCCCCACACACTCGGTGACGCACAGCTCGGTGACGCACTTCCCTAGGAGGCTGTTACTTGAGCAACTTTTTTTTCTCCGGGAGCCCCGAGCTCATGACCCACAACCCCCCCCCACCACCCCCTTATCTATCCTCTCACTCCCCACCTTCTGGAACTTTCCACAAAATTCCTCCCAGTCACACCTCTTTCTCGTTGTTTTCCCCGCTGAAAATACAGTCGAGTATCTTCTTTGGCTTTCCTCCAGCCCCCCCCCCACCGCTTTTCCTTTTTTTCTCGCCCTTGTTACCAGCGTGCTCTTTAATTATTTATCTTGGATGTGGTCCTGCGACCCCCCCTCCCCGGCTAACCCTCAGCGTGACCCCACACGACCTTTTACATCAATTCCTTCCCTCGAATGTTTAACCACCACCACCACCAATGCCCGATGCCAATGCTCCCATTTTAGTTAACATTGGTTATGTCAGTTTTCGTTTTTAAAACGCGAAACAAGAATCATAAAGCAAACTAAAATAAAGGTAAAGAGCAAAGTTATGTTTATTTCGGCAAAATTATCTATATAAACGCATATTGATGCTACGGCTTTACCAATTACCTCTCTATAAACTCTCCTTGCCTTACCGCACTGACCAGCGTGGAGAAGTATGGTCAAACAGCCTCCATGAGTGACAGCGTGGGGCGGGCCTTCATCCAGCAGTGGATTAACAAAGGGCTGTACACACTTAACTGTCAAACACAGCCCCTTAATTGTATCGGTATATTTGACAGCAAAAATGTGAACTGTGGTCTGGCCTAGAAAACCCCTCAGGGTGTTTCAATGCAGGGTTTGATGTTTGTCGAACTTCGCTCGCACCGTACGTCGCCAACCGTGCTGATCGCTGGTGCGAGATGCAAAGACACCGGTGGTGATTCGGCGACGCGTGTAACGCGTGGTTCCCAATCGTCGCCATCCTGTGGGGTTTTTGGTATTTTCCTGAGTGGCACTGCCGACAAGTGTGGCACCGATGTAAGGATTCCCCCCCACCCACACCTGTCGCTAACCCTCGGCGTGACCCCACACGACCTTTTACATCAATTCCTTCCTTCGAATGTTTTACCTCCACCAATGCCCGATACCAATGCTCCCATTTTAAACACATTCCTGCGGAGGGAGCTGGTAGGAACGTTGGCTTGCTCTGTCAATGGCCAGGGTCAACGGCGGCGTGGTATATTCCGCAAATATGCCCGACTGTGAGGGTGGGCACAAACCGGCGTGAGTACGTTAAACGTTGAGTTTTATAAGGGCACCACGGGGTGACCAGCCCCTCCCCTCCCCACCCAGCCCCACCCTCCCCTCTCCACCCAGCCCCCCCCCGACCTGTCGGAGAGAGGTCCACCAGCCGAGCCAAGCAGAAATCCCAGCATGAACATCGCCTGCGACATCTCGTTCAGCCAGCTCCGCTCGCACACCAGATCAAACTGAGCACACGGACAGACGAATGCACGAGAACAAAGATGGAGAGATCCGTCATTGTCAATCCACAGCTGCTGGATGAAGTCTCACCCGCCATACTTCACCCCGCTGGGTCAAGTGCAGGTTGGTAACGAAGGGGGCTGGGGGGGTGGGGGTGCCCTAGGACCCGTTCAGATATCGCTCGCCACTGACGTTAGCCGTGGCCTGGAATGTAACATAGGCGGCCACTTTCGTACATAAGCAGTCTGCGTTGCGAATTGCGCCACCGCCTCCACCCGATACATAAACGAAGGCAAAACGTGCACGAATACAAATGAGCCATGGTAGTTACATAGAGAGACATCTATATACAGCGTAGAGAATCAGAATATGTATTCATACTGGAGAAATCCGATGAGCTATAAAGCTCTTTTTCACAATTGTGTACATCACCTCGGTGACGATGGTCGACGAATACTGGCTGGTGTCGTACATCCACCCGTTGGTGCAGGGCTCTTGGCTGTAGTTTCCAAAAGCTCCCAGCTCATCATCACCATCAGCAGCGGCGGCGGCGAGGGTGCTCCACGCACCACCGCTCGAGACATTCCCCCCGCCGTGCTCCCACGGGCGGAGGAGACTCGCGTCGAGGACGCGCACGCACGGGTTCACCGGCTCGCCTCCGCGCCCATCACTCGGGGTCACGGACACAGGCTCCGGGGTCGCGTTCGTGGGCCCCGCTGAGCCCGTGACACCCGCGCTGTCGGGCCGGCAGCTGTGCGGCACGGCGGAGCCCGAGAAGACCTGTACGAAGGAGGGGAAGTCCCCAAAGAGGCACGTGAGGCTCGTCCAGAAGATGAGCCACTTTTGGAACTTTCCGAAGCCGATGGTGGCGATGATGTCCCCAAAGTCGGTGGTGATGGTAGGTTCCATGGGTGATGCGTTGGCGTTCCGTTATTAGCGTGGCTATTGATTGGTGCTCGAGAAGGTAATGCTCTCAGACGCACATTGTTTCGCGTTGTATGCCTGTGTATATATATGTGTGTGTGCAGGGCTTATGGGGTGTGGTGAAATGCAAGTCGGTGTGTGTTGATGTTGAGTTGTGACTTGTCATCTACAAGGCCTGATGCTTGTGCTCAACCATTAACCCGTGCGTGAGCTCAGGTACATTAAAAGGGGACCTCCCCGTAACGCGGCATGTCTCTCTCTGTGTGTGTGTGGGGGTGTGTATATATATACACTCACACCCCCACGGACTTAAAACAGCTTGGCGTGTTTAGTATTTTGTATCTTAATCATACACGCAGCAAGATTAATAATTCAAAGACAAAACTACGGTTTACATGCGCGAGTCCTCTCTCAATCTGCTGTGTCCGATGAAGGGATCCCCTCGCTGTGTCGGTCATGGTTGTTTGACCATACTTCACCACGCCCGTCAATGCGAGTTGTTGAAGTGGTGGTGACCCAGGACCGGTTCAGATATCACTGACCACTGATGTGAGCCGTGTGCGGTTTCACAATTCACAAACCCTCGGTGATTCGATTCATTATCGCCTTTCAGGGTCGCGTCTTCAATCACATGATGCATAGTTATTATTTTAACACAACGAAACGTAATGTGCTATTTATTATACTTGCAAATAACGCTTTACCCCGCGAAGACTAAAGTTCAATCGTGGGTGAAGCTATTGAATCGCTGTTTGTATAACGCCTCACACACACACACTGCTCCTTCTCAAAAATACTCTACAAGTGTAGGACTCGTAGTGACGCGACAGCTTCTTTGTCTTTCTCGGTTCTTTATTAACTCATATAGTTCGCATCTCCTCCATCGGCATCACTCAATGACCCGCCGTACTCTTCCACTCACAACTCCCCATCAACATCACTCAATGTCCCTCCGCTCGCTCGCTCCGCTCCGCTGGCTTCGCTCGCTCTCCTTCTGCTCCTCCAGCGACCCTCCTCTCTGCTCTCTTTTTTTATTTTTTATTTTTTTTACGATCAGTGGAAACAAGAAGATGCTCGGTGTAGTCGGCACTTTGCTTTGTTCATCAATTCGTAAATTTTTTTTTTAAACTTTGCTCTCTCTCTCTCTCTCCAGCTCAGTCGCTCTTTGTTCTCTCTGCTGTCCCACTCCGTCGTAGCTCTCTCCACCAAGGTCCGGTACTCCGCTGCTATCCTACGCTGTGCTCGCTCCGTCCACTACTACTCTATCTGTATTCTCTCTATCCACTGCTACCGTACACTGTATTCTCTCTATCCACTGCTACCTTATACTATACTCTCTTTATCCACCCATCCGCTGCTCCGTCTCCCCACCCGTTCGTCACTCGTCCCAGGCACCAACTCCCGTTTCTCTCCACGCTCTCCGCCTTTATCCCTGAACCAATTCCCCTTAATTAATTGGATCATCCCCCGCTTCGCTACTCGCCCCAGCCCCCAGTGCCATGTGGCGTTGTTGTTGTAGACACAGCGGCGCCAATTTCAGACACCCATACCTCTCGTCCAATCACCGGCCTGCGTCCTCAATTACCCCCGGCTACCTGCGGCCCCCCTTAACGACCATGCCACCTTAATTGGTACAACAACAACAGTAAGTCGCTCAGCGCCCTGTGTCCCCGTTTGCCCTCACTGTCCGCCACGTGCACGCATCTCAACGCAACGCGTGACGCGTGTTTCTCAAGTCCTACACAAGTACTGACACACCGCAATCCGTGCCATTGCAATCACCTCACGTCTGGCGGAGCAATGAGAGACGGCTGTCTGTCATAGCTTTGCTATCTGTACTGCTGTCTGTACGACTGTTTATACGACTGTTTGTACGACTGTACGGCTGACTGTCTGTACGATTGTCTGTACTGCTGTCGGTCATAGCTTTGCTATCTGTACAGCACGTCTGGCATAGCTCCGCGGGCTGGACATATCAAATCACGGTAATTGATGTCCGGCGTTCGGCATGTCCACGAAGAGCAGCGGCATCCCGGCAACAGATTTGTGAGTGACGAGACAACTGCAGACGATGCAGGGCTCAATGACTCGTGGGCGGAGTTGGCAGGGGGGCACACAGGGAGGGGCACCTTTATTAATATATTTTCAGAAGTCTACAATTGAGATCAAATAAATAATATGCATCTGTGATTCCGAATGTGAGGGACAGAGACCCCCCCCCCCCCAAATATAGAAGTCAAACTCCGCCTATGCTTAGTATGCGCTCATTAAATCCACATCGAAGACGTGTGTTCTACACGCGTGTGCACTCCGTGTATCCCAGGGCTTAATTTATCACCTCGATATTTTCCGGATCGGGTAAAGGGGACGTGGCAGAATGCTCGAATTACAGGCCAATCTGGCTCCTGTGTCATGCGATGAAGATCTTTGAGCGAGTTTTGGACACGAGGATTAGAAACATCATCACCCTATCACCCAACCAATGCGGCTTCGTCAAAGGATGTGGCACTACGGACGCCATATTCGCGGCGAGGCTCCTGCTGGAGAGGCACAGAGAGAAGAACAAAGCTGTGCACGTGTCGTTCCTCGACCTTGAAAAGGCATTTGACAGGGTCCCCCACGACCTCATCTGGCACTCGCTTCGATCCCATGGAGTCCCTGAAACCTACGTGCATTGGGTGCAACTCCTATACAAGAACGTCACCAGTGCAGTCAGGTGTGCAGTGGGCATATCACCGCCATTTCCCATCAGCGTTGGAGTGCACCAAGGATCGGCCCTGTCACCACTCCTGTTTATCCTGTGCATGGACACGATCACTGCCGACCTGCACACGCCCCTGCCATGGTCAATTCTCTACGCGGATGACGTCCTCCTCTCAGATGAAGAGAGAGGAGAAGTGGAAAGACAAACGCACCTGTGGAAGGAACGTTTGGACGAAAACGGGATGAGGTTCAACATCAAAAAGACGGAGTATATGGAGTGTGGCCCCCAAACCGACGGCACCATCAGCATTGACGGAGAAGATCTGAAGAAAGTGACGGACTTTAAGTACATGGGCTCCACCATCAGCTCAGATAGTAGCATCACGACTGATGTGACGTCACGAGTCAATGCGGCATGGATGAAGTGGAGGCAAGTCACCGGAGTCCTCTGTGATCGGAAAATGCCGGATAGGCTGAAGGGAAAAATTTACAAGACCATCATCCGACCAGTGGCACTCTATGGATCCGAGTGCTGGCCAGCCACAACTGTACACGAACAAGCTCTCCACACCATGGAGATGAGGATGCTCAGATGGAGCCTCGGACTCACTCGATGGGATCGTGTCATGAACGAAGACGTTCGGAAGCGACTTGGTGTGGCCCCCATTGCGGACAAGATGCTTGAGGCAAGGCTTCGGTGGTACGGCCATGTGATGCAAAGTGAAGAGTCATCAGTGGCCAAGACTGCCATGCGTATTGAGCCAGAGGGCCGCCGTCCACGCGGACGTCCGAAGAAGCGATGGATGGATCGAATAAAGGAAGACATGAAGACGGTCAACGCATCCCCTGAAGATGCCCTGGACCGAGCCAAATGGAGAAGACAATGCCGAAAAGCGGACCCTGCGCCACAGCGGGAACAACGCTAGGAAGAAGAAGATATTTTCCGGATCGCTGCTAAGATGGCATGGAGTAGTCATAATCGGCTCGCATACGTTCTTCGTGCTCGTCACAGCCGCAGCCAAAGTCATCACGAGGGCAAAACGAGGCGGGCGAGATGGATGTGGCGTGGCGCTGTCATTCCCAGACTGTTCCGGCTGATGTGAAGAATGACTGCGCTCGCGAGTGTGCGAGCTCGCTGGTCGTGTGTGATGTCACATCCCTGTCAAACCATCCCGTATTCCTGTACAGGGAAATTGAGTTGTTAGGTCCATACGGCGTACAGCCGTTTCCACACGGGCAATGCATGTGTTTGTCTGTTTGTGTTTCTCCCTCGCGATGGGACTTTGTAGGATGAACGTTGATATTTTTAATGGCACGGGGTGACCAATAAGGTCTGGATTGGTCTTGAATAAGGTAGGCACTGGTAAGGGGTTGACAGGTATGTGATGTTCTACAAGGGCAAGAACACTTAAATGTGGGACACCATCCATTTCCGGCCAACGAATTGTGTGTGTGTCTACGCTGGTTAGCATTCGGAGGTGCCCGCTAACAGCAAATTGCCCCCAACAATCCGTCAAGGCTTATGTACGATGGATGGATCTGTGTCTGTTCTGCCTCACGGCAGGTGTTTGCTCCGTGGGAGGAGTGGGGGCATGTGTACACAGGAATTTCCTGTTGTTGATGTTGAGTTTGGTCACGTGACCAGGAAGTTCCGATTTGACAGACTTTCAGCCACGAGGCTGGGGGTCCGCCATTACACAGAGTTCAAGATGGCGGCACACATCGCGTCCCAGTGAAGCCAGCTGTAATTGTGCATTGTGGGACTTTAAGAAGCATTGTTTGTAAGTTCGTTTATGTTCTTGTAATACTGGGAATGCTGTTATAATGTTAGAACGACCGTTATAATGCTGTAAATGCCTTTATAATGCCGTTAAATTGTTATGATAAATACGAGGCCTAGTTAACAACGAAGCCTGTAACTTGCCTTATTGTGAATGTCACTTGTAATTGAATAAGTCGAGTCAAACTTGTACCCAAGTAACTATATTGCGATCTTGAGAGCAAGGATGACGAAATGTCTCATTCATAGTGCAGTGTTATATGCAGTGCTGTACATTTGGGGTGCAGTGTGATGATTGCACGATGTGCCTTTGTTTAACACAGTAGCTTGTTCTTTTGTATAGCTATTCAGTACTGTTGTGGGTGCCTGGTCCATCCAGGATCTATTGTTGAGAAACATGTTATCTAGGACAATGTTGTGATGCTGTAGTGTTCATGCATTGTGTTGATGTTTCCAAGTATTAACAGATGGTGTATCTGTGCTGTGTTTTTCCATCAGTTTTACCTCGTTCAATTCAATAAATTACGTTTGGAGTCGGGTGTTCACCCTGGCTCTGAGGGTTTATTGGATGCGAGGTTAACTACTCGGATAGCGGTGCAACGCAGCGCACAGCGAGGCCGAGACAGTGTCTGTGTTCGCTTTCAGGGCTTACAAACCCGATCCATCCGAATTGAACGACAGTGTCGATCACGGCAAGTTCTCAAGCAACCCACTTGGGCTGTACCGCCATCTGCCGGCCACCCCGAAGCCCAACGGGTTATTTGTGGGTCCCACGGCATTCCCTGCGCGATCCCACCTCACGTCCCCCACAGCGCTGGGGCTTTCACAGAGCGCGATTCGCGTGGCGTCATCACAGTCCGGGGTGACCCCTTCAAAGAGTTCACAACATCCAGTGTACATACAGCAACAACAAAGACCTACACAGTAAAAGGCGCGCCCCCTACAGAGTGCTCGTACCTCGACTTGTGTGTGCGTCCCACCCCCACCACCCCCGATACGGCACGATAAGCATCAGCCGCGGGGTCAAGCAGAAAGTGTACACGCGCTCTCGAGGTTACAGTGCGGAAACGCAGCGACGCCGAGGCTGAGCTGAGCAAATCTCCCGTCTACATTTGCACGATCAACAACAGAGCCATCAGCGCTGCAGAGGCAACCCACGAGTTGCTGCTGCTGCTGATGATGATGATGCTGCTGCTTGCCCCACGCGCTCTCGTGCGTTGGGCAGCCCTGCCCCAGCGCTTGCCCTTAACCGTGCCTCGCGCGGGGCTGCGCTCGCCGCAAGCCGCCCTCTGCTCCCGCGGTGCCGTCTCGAGGTCAGCCAGCGGCTCCTCCGTGGCAGACGCCACCGCGAGGAGGGGTGCTGATGACGGCAAGCTGGCGGGCAAGTTGGACTCGCAGACCGGGCAGCAGCCTCGGTCCGTGAAGGAGCTGCCCGGTGTGGGGATGCTGTCCTCTCTCTACTGGCTCGTCATCCGCGGCTATTTGAGCGAGTTCCACGAGCTGCAGGTGAGTGACGCATCCTCGATCATCGTCGATCATCATCAGCTCCGGCTGCTATTCTTTGTCAGCGCAACTTCGTCAGGTGTTTGCCGTGAGACGATGGGGGGAGGTGAGCTCAAACTAAGTTCTGCTCGAGGTACGTATGCCGGGGAGATGGAGTGATGAAATGAGCTCGAGCGCGGGTGCTCGGTGGATTGTTGCATCGCAGGATCGTGCGATGGCGACGGACTTGGGGAAGCCTTCGTCCAGCAGTGGATTGATCATGGCTGGTGAGCAAAAAATGATTGGTCTTTCGTCACCCGCATGGAAAGTGGCCAACTACAAGAAACGTCTGACCTCTGTGATTGCCAACAAGGGTTTTGCCACCAAGTACTAAGTCTTGTTTTGCAGAGGGGTCAAATACTTATTTCCCTCATTAAAATGCAAATCAATTTATAACATTTTTGACATGCGTTTTCTGGATTTTGTTGTTGTTATTCTGTCTCTCACTGTTCAAATAAACCTACCATGAAAATTATAGACTGACCATTTCTTTGTCAGTGGGCAAACGTACAAAATCAGCAGGGGATCAAATACTTTTTTCCCTCACTGTATATTTGGCTGCAAACATTTTTGCTGTGAACTTACAACGTTAGACGGCACTTTACAATGTAGAAGGAAGCTATGCAAAGACTGCATTATGTTGTAGAAGCAGGTGGACTTCTCCACAACTCTGGCTGTCGCCTGATGAAGCTGGTTGTAGTTACTGGCGAAACGTCGTACTCAGAATGTAAATGTTGTGGCTTGGCTCTCCAACACACCGGTGTGCTGTACTAATACACTACACTATACACTACACTACTCTACACTATACACTACACACTAGTGCTGTACTAGTGACGAATTGCATGTTCTGTTTACTTGACAACCCTTACTAGTTTGCCGTGTCGGGTGGTGGCGGGTTTAACGACACATGATTCTGTTGGTGTTTCGAAAATCATTTTATACTTTGAGCGACGCACACTAATACCAAGTAATCAATGACGAGGGATGTTTGACCCAACAGATTATACATCACAAGCGCTTCGGTAACATGTGGACTACATACATGGGCCCGGAGCTGTTCGTCTGCCTTGCCGACCCAGACCTTATCGAACAGCTGATGAGACAGGAGGGACCTTACCCTGTGCGCTCAAGCATACCCGCCTGGGATGATTATCATATGATGCGGGGTCATTCCAAGGGCCTGCTAACCCAGTGAGTCCACCATGATGCCAGGGGTGTCTTGTTTTTTGAATGTGTACTCAGTGTCTACAAACAGCGCATTGGGTTTTCCAGTTTCACGTGATAATGAGTGCGGGTGGATTCATTCATGAACTGAATTGTGCTTGAAATGGCTTCATCGTCATTATTAGAGACCCCTAGACCCACAGAGAGACTGATAGACTTACATGGAGATCCATTGAGAAAAGGAAATTTTCTGATTTCATCATCTGCGCTCTTCCACCATATGGCCACTGGTTTGGTGAAAGTGCAGCACTTGTCATCATCATCACCACCACCACCACCAAATATTGCCTTGAGGCTGAGTCAACCTAGGGGAGGCCCAGGACTGGTTCAGATAATTGTCATTGGTGTTGGCCGTGAGCGGGAATCGAACTGGAGTCACCGGGTTTACAGTGCAGCGTCCGCATCTTTGCCCGCACCTCCGGATGAATGCAAACACACACACATGTGGTGGTGATGTTGGAACGCGCGCACACCGAACCCGGGTGAATCACAGTACTTACCAGTGCGGGGTCGTTGTGTTATCCCTGACCGGGGCCCCTCCTGAGGGGAGGGGGCTGTGGGGTGTGTGTGATCCCACGGAAACCCGCCCCTCGGTGGGGAATTGTATAAAAGACAGGACTCTGAGAGCAGAGGGGCAGTTCGATCAAGCCAAGCCGAAGAACCAGCTGAAGACTGAAGTCCAGCTAGCTAGACCCTGGGACTCCTCTGACTAAGGGCCGGGCAGAGCAAGCCAGTGGTGCGACCCCAGAGCCACGAAGGCCAATGTCCTTTTCAGGGCCGGATTCGTGTGGCTGGTGGTCGAGACCTGTGCCGAAGCTGGGCCAGGTCAGTTAGTGTCTTTGAGAGGAGGATCGTAGAATAGAGGGAAGTAGAGGAGTTAACTTGGGGTGTTAACTGGGGAATTACTTCCCTCGTTAGAACAGGTGTGAGCTGTCGAGTTGAGAATAATAAATACTTGTTGCCTCAAGTTCAACCGTCTCTGTCGTCATACAAGGCCACCACACACACATGGCCGATTACCGGAGCTGCTAGCCTCCCCCCCCCTTCCCATCTCCACACCTGCAGGACGGGCGCCGACTGGAAACGCATGCGTGAAGTTCTCAACCAGCGCATGCTCAAGCCCAAGGAGGTGATGCAGTTTGCGGACCCCCTCAACGCCGTCGTCACAGAGCTGATGGGGCACGTGCGGGCGAGGCGCGGGCATGGCGCCGCTGCCGCAGTTTTCCCGCTGCCGGACGTCGCTCAGCTGCTCTACAGATTCGCCTTTGAAGGTGCGCTCGCTCAGCCCGGCCCGCGGACCCGTGAATGCGGCGGCTGGGCCCCAAAATGGCACAGCCACACTTTTGATGTAGCGATAAAGAATAACAAGTGTTCATTTATGACAGTAGCTTGGATTATTTAATGTTGTCCAGAACGATAGTCTGTAACTTTTGCAATTTTTCAGTTTTTTTAAGTGACGAGTCACTCTGAACTCGTGACATCGCAACTGGCTCAAAGGGTGGTCCAGGTAGAAACGTGCCACTCCCTATCCAAGCTACACACCCTTGGGTTGGTGTTCACTTCGCCTGGTGAGACTACTGTGGGAATTCGGGCTGAGCCGATGGTACATGAATCGTGAACGGGGCTGGCTTTCTTTCCAGCAGTCATGGTAACCCGGGCACAAAATAAACTAAATCATCTTTAAAACCACTAGTTTTCTTTCAAATAAACGCCTCTTGTGCTCATCAATTGTTCGTGGTAGGCGTTACAACCGTTCTGTTTGAGACTCGAATGGGCTCGCTCGAGGAGACCGTCCCCAAGGAGACCCAGGACTTCATTCGCGCCATCGAGAGCCTGCTGTCCACCACAATGTACGTGCTGGCCCTACCTCGGTGGACGCGGCCACTCCTGCCCTTCTGGGGCCGCTTCGTCCAGGCGTGGGACGTCATCATCAACACCGGTGCAGTGTGTTGGCTTAGGTCAACTGTCATTATCCCCGACATCGCTCACACGTACCACCGCGACAAAAGTAGATGATCAAGGCCTTGACTCACCACCCGAGCATTTGTCACTGGTGATACTTCACCAGATAAAGCAGTTAATTGAAGCAACTATGGCGACTTGGTGCCGCATAGCGGCGCAGGTCTGTCTAGCGAATGTAAAGAGTGTTAAAATGTAGGTTTGATGAACATTGGTTGGTTTAAAGAATACACAACCTCTGGCAGTCATGTGACCTCTGTGATCTGATTGGAAGTTGCTATTCCAGTTGCCCACTCGGGGCAGCTGCAATCACATTTTGTCCACATTTAAGCAACTCCATTTTTTACAAAAGTAGAAAATGCGACCGGCACTCGTGCCTGTAACGATCGGCCCAGAATTGCCTCGTTACGCTACGGCCTTCAGGAAAGGATGAAAAGTTCAACACCTGTTGAACGGATTTTTTTGTCTGTAAGGCACGACAATATTTAAAATGTTTCCCTCATTTTCTACCCGCTGCCCTTGCGCCCATGTGGTGGCTCCGGCACCTCAGCGACGCGACTGATAAACGTCAAGCTGGCGGAGGTGAAGGATTGCATCTCCCGGGGGCAGGAGGTGCGCGGCGAGTACCTGACCTACTTGCTGGCGAGTGGTCGCCTCTCGCTGCCCGAAATCTACAGCAACACCACCGAGATCCTACTGGCTGGCGTGGACACCGTACGTTCGACTCCCATAGGCGGACGGCTACAGCCAGAGGCTGACACGGGCGGCAGTTGGCCGCGATCTTGCTGCCAGTCTGTCGGCGTCACCGTGCGTGTAGTGTGATCGCCCCCCCCCCCCCCCCCGCTGCCCTTGTTTTTATCGTTGTTTGTTGACTGTTGGTCACTCACAGACGTCGAACACGCTCTCGTGGAGCCTCTACCACCTGGCTCGGATGCCCGCCTTGCAGGAGGCCCTGTGCCGTGAGGTCAATGCAGTCGTGCCTGGTGACGCTGTACCGGGCATTGACGAGGTGGCCCGGATGCCACTCCTCAAGGCCGTCATCAAGGAGACGCTGCGGTGAGGTGTTCGGGGGCACTGGCGGTGCCCGTGGGGGGGTGGGGTGGCATGTGCCCCCCTAATGATCCGATCGAAATCCCTAATTTCGTTCGGATCATTGGGGTGTATTAGTAATAAATCGGCATTTTGCGACCCCCACTGCCATTATGTAGCATATTATTACGTGCCAGGGACTCTATGAGATGAGAGGACATAATTGGCAATAAGCAACGGCAAAGCAGTTATAAGTGACAAACAGAATTGTGCGCAGTTACGTATACAGTACACGACTTCCCTGAAGGTATACCTTCAGCGAGCGCGATGTCGATCACACACGGTTCGAATTCGACCCTCGATCGATGGCTGCGCCATCGCCGCGCACGCGTCGAATAAAAAGCAAGGGACAAGTCCTTATGTGGTGGTGGTGGTGGTATTGATGCACACACACGCCAAACTGGTGCGGGTGATCGTGTCATCTCTGGCCAGGCATTCCTGAGGGGAGGGGGCTGTGGGACGCGTGCGATCCCACAGAGCCCCACCCCTCTGTGGGAAGCAGTACAAACCTCTTCTGGGCAGTTGTGTGATGTACGCCCAGGGCCTCCTGAGGGGAGGGGGCTGGGGGGCCTGTGTGATCCCACAGAAACCCGCCCCTCGGTGGGAAATCGTATAAAAGGTGGGACCCGGAAAGCAGAGGGGCAGTTCGACCAAGCCAAGACGAATAACCAGTGAAGACTGAAGACCAGCTAGCTAGACCCTGGGACTCCTCTGACCCGCTGCCCTTTTGAGGGCCGGGCAGAGCAAGCCAGTGGTGTGACCCCAGAACTTGAGGGCCGATGTCCTTCTCAGGGCCGGACTCGTGTGCCTGGTGGTCGGAACGTGTGCCGAAGCTGGGCCAGGTTAGCTAGCCTCCTCAGGAGGGAGGTCTAGAGTGGGGGAAGTAGGGAGTTAACGTGGGGCGTTAGCTGGGGAACACTTCCCCCGATAGAACGGGTGAAGAGGCCGTTACCTCTTCGAGTGTCAGGGTCGCTTCTTTGCTGGAATTGAAGTTACCTGTAATAAATACGTGTTGCCTCCATCAACCTTCTCCTTCGTCATATAAGGCCACTACACTTATTAATAACTCTATAATTTTTCATTGCTGAAGGGGTTGCCCCCCCTACCTGAAAATCCTGGCTCCGCCAATGTTCGGGGGTCCGGCGAGGTGCGACCGCATACGTGGTTGCTGCTGTGTCCGCTCTGCGAGCTGTATGTATGCACATTAAACTTCTTTCGCACTCTACATAGCCAACCGTGCTAATCGAAGCTGTGTGGTGTTTGCCGTTCGCGATGCCCGTCGGCTCTGCGCCGCTTACCCTGTCAGTCGGATTCTTATGTTTCGGTTTATTTGATTGAAAGCTAGGTTGTTTACTTCAACATTTACTGTAGGTTACATTTTTGTTGTTGTGTTCATACGTTCGTTCTTGGGCTGACGCTGTTTATAATTTATACGATCGGAGGTAATTTTGTCACCTCTGCCAATTTTACGGTCCGGATGATGTTCTGAGCCCCGTCACCAATGGCTGCACAGTAACCCATCAAGTAAAATGTTGTTTTGTACTTTATTTTGGCTAAATTCTATGTCTGAGAATTAACAATCGGTTTCGCTGCTATTTGAGTAAAATTACTCTCAGTGGTGGAATGGGTGGAAAAGTGAGCAAAGATGTGTAATGGGTTCAATTTAGGCGCACACACTTCTTGGGAGGCAACACTCATTTATTAGAACAGTAAGTATATAACACTGTACATTACACATAGGGTGGTGACCACCGACCTACTCTAGCTAACACACACTTCTCTAACTCTCAGCTACTCTAGCGTGACCCAGCCAGGTGGGCTACTGGCAGGTCTGCTGACTGGAGACTTGACTCTTCTTGGCATCTTCACGATGCATCTTCATTCTTGGCACGGGCAGCCTCGAACCTCGTGAGGAGGCTGCTTATAGGAGGCTTGGCGTGCCCGGGCGCCACCCCGGCCACGCCTCCCTACGAGAACCCTCTCGAAGCCCCCCCCCCCCTGCTGTCCACGTGCCCCCCGAGGTGCCCCCTGGGCCCCTGGCCCCCACTGGGATCCGGTCACGTGTCCAGCCAGGGTCACAGAGAGTGCCACGACCTCACACCACCTCCGTGGCCTCCCGAGTCCAGAACCGGCCCCGACGTCATTCCCGCCTCCAGCCGGGAGGACGTCATGTGTGTGTGTAGACCCATGTGGTAGTGACGCTCACCCGCATAGTGACGTCACACGTGTGCGTGTGCACACAGTAGTGATGCTACAATCACTACAGATGAAAGGGCCACTTGAAGTATTTTCCAGTAGTTCTGTTGAGATTCCCTTGTGAGGCCCATCTCGGATACATGGATTCGCGCCGCTCTTTAAGATTTCCAAATGGAATATTTTCTTCACGGCTTGACACCAATAGCACAGCGGGCGCCTCCATGGCGAGATGTTAACTACCCCGCCTGGTACACAGGAGGACGGGGGTTCGATCCCAACCCTGATGCCTGCTATATATTTTGAGTTGTCATGTTCTTCTCGTGGTTGTGTCGATTTTTGTATGGGTCCTCCGGTTTTTCCCTCCACATTTGGCTGGTAGAAGTTTCCACATGATAAGCCACTTCACGGAGCTATCATTTGTGGCGAGGTCACTTCTGAAAAAGAGCTGTGTATCTCAGTGGGCCTTATCTGGTAAAATAAATAAAAGTTTATAGTTTAAAACACGATTTAGCACCTTTAACAATTCGCAGGATTCTAAGCTCTAAATGTTTTTGCTGTTTATGTCCGCAGGTTATACCCGGTGGTCTTCCAGAATGGGAGATACATCATGGATGATGGCCTGGTAGTCGGCGGGTACTCCTTGCCGAAAGGGGTAAACCGTGCTCGCGTTGAGCTCACTGCATACATCACGTGGCAATTTCCCCCACATTCATTGGGTGTCGATTCAGCTGTAGAATTTAATTCGGGACTTTTTTTTTTCAAAATAAATAATTTCTTGTCAGTTGTGAATTTGACCGTTTTCCAAATGGCATCGTTTCTCTAATCACCGCTGCCGCTTTTGTCAAGTGTGGTGATTTACATGTTGTTTTTACAGTAGTGACTCGATTATAACGATCTGTGATTGGTCGAAATGCATCAGGCGTAGCCGTTTGTAAAAATGACACTTAAATAATAGACCTTAATCATACACTGTTGGATGAAGAACTTACCAAACCGTGTCAGTTATGGGGGTTGTTTGACCATACTTGTTTATTAATGCAAGTTGGTGAAATGGACAGCACAGAATCAAACTCACGTTGTCGTGCTCGTAGAAAAGTGTGCGAACTGCACCACAAATGGCCGTTGTGCGTGTACAGCATAGCCCTTTTTGTCAACTCACTTCTGGATGGAGGACCTCTCCATGCCACGTGGGTCATGACGGTTGTTTACATACTTCACGCCGGTCAGGGTGGGTTGGTGAAATCGAGAAACATCGATGTGGAAGCATAGAGTCACAGTACAACAATGAATTGTTCCGCACTGCACTTTGCAGCCTCCAACGTAGGCTCGCAAATGCCTATAACAACCTGGCGTATACCTGGTGGTCAAGGGCCATCCAGGTTCTACACTGCTCAGCTTCCAAGGTCTGATGAGATAGGGCACGTTTCAATGTGAATGGCACTTCTCAAAAAAGTTGATTGGCCAATCTGTTGTGGTTTTTTTTGTATCATGGCTCAAAGGCCCAAAACACCAAGCGGTTCGCAACAAAAAATAACTACGTTACATGCAACAGATAAGATGTAATACTTTGATTAAGTTGAGAAAGCTTTTTTGGACTTGGGAAAAAAGAGGAAAATGGGGGGAGGGCTTTCCCAAGTTGAGCAGCGCCAAGAAAGAAGTAGAAAGAGAAAGGTTCTGACCGGCAGCAATCGTGGTGGTTGAACGCAGTGTGGATGAGATTAAACATATTATTCCAGTAGACCCGAGTCCTCCACATCGGTGGAGATTTCAACAAAAGGAATTTAGGGAAAACCGTTACCATGGCAGCAGCCGCGAGAAAATAGTGATAAGGAGACAACTGACTGGCGGCCGGTGAGCGAGCGGAGTGAATCGGTGAATGTTGGATGGTCAGCCAACGTGATCGTTGCCCCCCGTCGCTGGTGCCGCAGACCCACCTGTCGCTGTGTCACTACGTGCTCTCCATGGACGGAGAAATCTTCCCGAATCCGCGGGAGTTCCGGCCCCAGCGCTGGCTGCGGGGCAAAGACCGGGCCGCATGGCGGCACGGCAGTGGCGGGGAAGAGGAGGAAGAGGCTGCTGCTGCTGCCACCTCGGAGAGAACGCATCCCTTCGCCTACATCCCATTTGGCTTTGGGCTGCGTGGGTGCGTGGGACGCCGTATCGCCGAGCTCGAGATGCACCTCTGCCTGGCCAGGGTCGGTATCCCCAGACGAAGGTTTTATTGGTTTAACACGTAGCAGGCTTTCGCGACCAATATCCATAATACAGGTATTTTTGGGTTATATCGCATACATATATAAATTTGTCATTAAACATGCCACCACCCGACACAGCCAATTAGTAAGGTTTGTCACGTAAACAGAACATGCCAATTCGTTACAAGCCACAACATTTACAATCTGAGTAAAAGCTAGTTGTGTAAAAGGCCGAACACCCCTGGCCGTATCGTCACGTGAGATCGTGACGTTATTTGGTTTCTCCCTGAATCTCAGCGATCGTTCTCTGTCACCGCGTGTGCTGCTTGCTCCCGCAGTTTGTGAAGACGTTCGAGATGATGCCCGAGCCCGGCGCGAAACAAGTTCTGCCAAAAACACGGGGCCTCCTCGTTCCCTCTGCCCCCATCAACCTCTTGCTGCGTGAGAGACTCTGAGGAGAAGAAACTAAAGAAGAAGAACGACACGCAGAGAAGGCCATAATATATATTTTTTGGGGTTAGATCGCGAAAATATATAAATGTGTCATTAAACTCGCCACCACCCAACACAGCCAACTAGTAAGGTTTGTCACGTAAACAGAACATGCCAATTTGTTACTAGTACAGCACACCGTTGTGTTGGAGAGCAATTCCACAACATGTACAATCTAAGTACGACGTTTCGCCAGTTATTACAACTAGCTTCATCAGGCGACAGCCAGATTTGGGAGTGACGAGACAACTGCAGACGATGCAGGGCTCAATGACTCGTGGGCGGAGTTGGCAGGGGGGCACACAGGGAGGAGGCAATGCCCCCTCCGAAACTGGGCACCTTTATTAATATATTTTCAGAAGTTTACACTTAAGATCAAAAACATATGAATCTGCGATTCCGAATTTGAGGGACAAAGCGACCCCCCCCCCCCAATATAGAAGTCAAACTCCGCCTATGCTTAGTGTGCACTCATTAAATCCATATCGGACACGCGTGTTCGACACGCGTGTGCACTCCGTGTATCCCAGGGCTTAATTTATCACCTCTATATTTTCCGAATCGCTGCTAAGATGGCATGGAGTAGTCATAATCGGCGCAATGCACCGCCACTACTACTTACTACTTCTCGAGTACAATGTACGCTTATCCATAATAATCCTAAATGGCTGTACCATGTTATTCCGGGGCTATTCCTAAGGCACCGCTCGCACACGTTCGTCGTGCTCGTCACAGCCGCAGCCAAAGTCATCACGAGGGCAAAACGAGGCGGGCGAGATGGATGTGGCGTGGCGCTGTCATTCCCGAACTGTTCCGGCTGATGTGAAGAATGACTGCGCTCGCGAGTGTGCGAGCTCACTGGTTGTGAGTGATGTCACATCCCTGTCAACCCATCCCGTATTCCTGTACAGGGAAATTGAGTTAGGTCCATACAGCGCACAGCCGTTTCAACACGGGCAATGCATGTGGTTTGTCTGTGTTTCTCCCTCGCGATGGGACTTTGTAGGATGAACGTTGAGATTTTTAATGGCACGGGTTGACCAATAAGGTCTTGAATAAGGTAGGCACTGGTAAGGGGTTGACAGGTATTTGATGTTCTACAAGGGCGAGAACACTTAAATGTGGCACACCATCCATTTCCGGCCTCACGAATTCTGTGTCTACGCTGGTTAGCATTTGGAGATGCTCATGAACAGCAACAGTCCGTCAAGGCTTATGCACGATGGATGGATCTGTGTCTGTTCTGCCTCACGGCAGGTGTTTTGCTCCGTGGGAGTGGGGGCGTGTGTACACAGGAATATCCTGATGTTGAGTTTGGTCACGTGACCAGGAAGTTCCAATTTGACAGCCTTTCAGCCACGAGGCTGGGGGTCCGCCATTACACAGAGTTCAAGATGGCGGCACACATCGCGTCCCAGTGAAGCCAGCTGTAATTGTACATTGCAGGACTTTAAGAATTATTGTCTGTAAGTTCGTTTATGTTCTTGTAATACTGGGAATGCTGTTATAATGTTAGAACGACCGTTATAATGCTGTAAATGCCTTTATAATGCTGTTAAATTGTTACGATAAATACGAGGCCTAGTTAACAAAGAAGCCTGCAACTTTCCTTATTATGAATGTCACTTGTAATTGAATAAGTCGAGTCAAACTTGTACCCAAGTAACTATATTGTGATCTTGAGAGCAAGTGTAATAAAAGACTCCGTCAGGCACTGCTGTCTCCGTTGGTCTTTTATTTAGTTTCTTTCTCTGCACCCCGCTGGGTCCGGTCCGCGGACCAGCGTCGTCTCGCGCGCACCCCGCACGCGCTCCCTCGTCAGCTCCTCCGCTCTACCTCACACCCCGCTGGTCCTGACAGTGGACCAGCGTCTCCTCGCGCATGCCCCGCACGCGCTCTCCTCGTGACGTGCCCCGCACGCGCTCTTCCTCAGTCTCTCCAGCTCCCCCGCTCCGCACACCGCTGGCCGACGGTGTGCCGAAGCCCCATCAGCCACGTGGCTGATGGCGCGGCGGCCACCCAACGTGGTCCCGCTTCTTCACTCCACAACTGACACCGATCCCTTCCGGGCTCCCACCTATATCTTCTCCCCCACGTGACCCTGAGTCCTCCCCTTCCGGATCGTCAGATCCGACCTTCCCATACTGCCCTGCTGGCTCCACCTCCATTCACCTCGCTTCCAATTGGACCCGAGGTGAACGGCGGCTCCTCCTACACGCCCCCCATACTGGGCTCCGCCCCCCAATACCCCAGGCCGTGTGATTGGGCCAGAGCCCAGCAGCAACCCCATTTACGCTCGAAATTACACAAGGATGACGAAATGTCTCATTCATAGTGCAGTGTTATATGCAGTGTGTACATTTGGGGTGCAGTGTGATGATTGCACGATGTGCCTTTGTTTAACACAGTAGCTGTTCAGTGCTGTTGTGGGTGCCTGGTCCATCCAGGATCTATTGTTGAGAAACATGTTATCTAGGACAATGTTGTGATGCTGTAGTGCTCATGCATTGTGTTGATGTTTCCAAGTATTAACAGATGGTGTATCTGTGCTGTGTTTTTCCATCAGTTTTACCTCGTTCAATTCAATAAATTACGTTTGGAGTCGGGTGTTCACCCTGGCTCTGAGGGTTTATTGGATGCGAGGTTAACTACTCGGATAGCGGTGCAACGCAGCGCACAGCGAGGCCGAGACAGTGTCTGTGTTCGCTTTCAGGGCTTACAAACCCGATCCATCCGAATTGAACGACAGTGTCGATCACGGCAAGTTCTCAAGCAACCCACTTGGGCTGTACCGCCATCTGCCGGCCACCCCGAAGCCCAGCGGGTTATTTGTGGGTCCCACGGCATTCCCTGCGCGATCCCACCTCACGTCCCCCACAGCGCTGGGGCTTTCACAGAGCGCGATTCGCGTGGCGTCGTCACAGTCCGGGGTGACCCCTTCAAAGAGTTCACAACATCCAGTGTACATACAGCAACAACAAAGACCTACGCACCAGTAAAAGGCGCGCCCCCTACAGAGTGCTCGTACTTCAACTTGTGTGTGCGTCCCACCCCCACCACCACCCCCGATACGGCACGATAAGCATCAGCCGCGGGGTCAAGCAGAAAGTGTACACGCGCTCTCGAGGTTACAGTGCGGAAACCCAGCGACGCCGATCAACAACAGAGCCATCAGCGCTGCAGAGGCAACCCACGAGTTGCTGCTGCTGCTGATGATGCTGCTGCTGCTTGCCCCACGCGCTCTCGTGCGTTGGGCAGCCCTGCCCCAGTGCTTGCCCTTCACCGTGCCCCGCGCGGGGCTGCGCTCGCCGCAAGCCACCTGGGACTCCTCTGACCCGCTGTCCTTCTAAGGGCCGGGCAGAGCAAGCCAGTGGTGCGACCCCAGAGCCACGAAGGCCAATGTCCTTTTCACGGCCGGCGTGTGGCTGGTGGTCGAGACCTGTGCCGATGCTGGGCCAGGTCAGTTAGTCTCCTTGAGAGGAGGATCGTAGAATAAAGCGAAGTAGAGGCGTTAACTTGGGGTATTAACTGGGGAATTACTTCCCTCGTTAGAATGGGTGAAGAGGCCATTACCTTTTCAAGTGTGACCTGTCGAGTTGAGAATAATAAATACGTGTTGCCTCAAGTTCAACCGTCTCTGTCGTCATACAAGGCCACCACACACACATGGCCGATTACCGGAGCTGCTAGCCCCCCCCCCTTCCCATCTCCACACCTGCAGGACGGGCGCCGACTGGAAACGCATGCGTGAAGTTCTCAACCAGCGCATGCTCAAGCCCAGGGAGGTGATGCAGTTTGCGGACCCCCTCAACGCCGTCGTCACAGAGCTGATGGGGCACGTGCGGGCGAGGCGCGGGCACGGCGCCGCTGCCGCCGTTTTCCCACTGCCGGACGTCGCTCAGCTGTTCTACCGATTCGCCTTTGAAGGTGCGCTCGCTCAGCCCGGCCCGCGGACCCGTGAATGCAGCGGCTGGGCCCGAAAGCGGCACAGCCACACTTTTTATGTCGTGATAAAGAATAACAAGTGTTCATTTATGACAGTAGCTTGGATTATTTAATGTTGTCCACAACGATAGTCTGTAACTTTTGCAATTTTTCAGTTTTTTTAATGAGAAAACGGCCTTGAAGTTAAATCAAGAGCGATGAGTCACTCTTACGCGTTGAACTAGTGACATCGCAACTGGCTCAAAGGGTGGTCCAAGTAGAAACGTGCCACTCCCTATCCAAGCTACACACCCTTGGGTTGGTGTTCACTTCGCCTGGTGAGACTACTGTGGGAATCCGGGCTGAGCCGATGGTACACGAATCGTGAACGGGGCTGGCTTTCTTTGCAGCGGTCATGGTAACCCGGGCATAAAATAAACCAAATCATCTTCTTGGTTCTTTCGGTAAAGTTACGTAGAAGGGAAATAATAAAATAATAAAAATAAAACATTATAAAATACAATTCTCACGACGTTTCGGCCACAACGCAAGCAGCCGTCCTAAGGTGAAGAACAGGGCTGTCGGAAAGACAGCGTCTGAATGAACACCACCAAGCTTGGCAGCGTATATTTAAGCTGGGTTAGAGGAGGAGGGCGCCTTGACAAAGGAATTTGCATATCAACAAAGGAATTTAGCATATTTATGGAAAATGCAGATATGGGATTAGTCACTACTTGTGGATTGTGTAGGTGCTAATATTATGCTCGTGTATTATGTAGGATTAGCAGTAATAAAGGCAGGAAATAGGATTAGCAGTAATAAAGGGAAGGAAATTTTAATTGGTAAGGAGCTGCAGCAGCCAAACCACCACGTAAAAAACTAAAATAAAAAGTACATCAATATCATCAATATACTCAATATATAAACTACATCAATATCATCAATATACGTGGTGGTATGGCTGCTGCAGCTCCTTACTATTGTAATTAAAGACTCCGTCAGGCACTGCTGGTCTCCGCTTGTCTTTTATTCTGGTTCTTTCTCCGCACGCCGTTGGTCTCCTCCGCGGACCAGCGTCATCTTGCGCGCGCCCCCACACGCACTTCCTCCTCAGCTCCTCCACTCGTCCTCACACCCCGCTGGTCCTGACAAGGGACCAGCGTCTCCTCTCGCGTGCCACGCACGCTCCTCTCGCGTGCCCCGCGCGCTCCTCTCGCGTGCCCCGTGCGCTCCTCTCGCGTGCCCCGCACGCTCCTCTCGCGTGCCCCGCACGCTCCTCTCGCGTGCCCCGCACGCTCCTCTCGCGTGCCACGCACGCTCCTCTCGCGTGCCCCGCACGCTCCTCTCGCGTGCCCCGCACGCTCCTCTCGCGTGCCACGCACGCTCCTCCGTCACCTCCTTCTCCCGCTCCGCACACCGCTGGCCGACGGTGTGCCGAAGCCCCATCAGCCACGTGGCTGGTATCGCGGCGGCCACCCAACGTGGTCCCGCTTCTTCACTCCATCAACTGGTCTCGATCTCTTCCGGGCTCCCCTTTATATCGTCTCTCCCACGTGACCCTGACTTCTCCCGTTCCGGATCGTCAGATCCGGCCTTCCCATACTGCCCTGCTGGCTCCACCTCCATTCACCTCGCTTCCCATTGGAGCCGAGGTGAACGGCGGCCCCTCCCACACGCCCCCCATACCGGGCTCCGCCCCCAATACCCCGGGCCGTGTGATTGGGCCAGAGCCCAGCAGCAACCCCATTTACGCTCGCATCACACTATTAAAATTCCTTCCCTTTATTACTGCTAATCCTACTTCCTCCCTTTATTACTGCTAATCCTACATAATACACGAGCATAATATGACCACCTACACATTCCACAAGTAGTGACTAATCCCATATCTGCATTTCCCATAAATATGCTAAATTCCTCTGTTGATATGCAAATTCCTTTGTCAAGGCGTCCTCCTCCTCTAACCCAGCTTAAATATACGCTGCCAAGCTTGGTGGTGTTCATTCAGACGCTGTCTTTCCGACAGCCCTGTTTTTCACCTGAGGACGGCTGCTTGCCGTCCTTTCCGACAGCCCTGTTTTTATTATTTTACCGAAAGAACCAAGAAGATGAATCCCTGCAGTTACGAAAGCCTCAAATTGAAATTTAAACCAAATCATCTTTAAAACCACTACTTTTTTTCCAACGAAACGCCTTTTGTGCTCATCAATTGTTCGTGGTAGGCGTTACAACCGTTCTGTTTGAGACTCGAATGGGCTCGCTCGAGGAGACCGTCCCCAAGGAGACCCAGGACTTCATTCGCGCCATCGAGAGCATGCTGTCCACCACGATGTACGTGAAGGCCCTACCTCAGTGGACTCGGCCACTCCTGCCCTTCTGGGGCCGCTTCGTCCAGGCGTGGGACGTCATCATCAACACCGGTGCGGTGTGTTGGCTTAAGTCAACTGTCATTATCCCCGACTGCGCTCACACGTACCACCGCGACAAAAGTAGATGCTCAAGGCCTTGACTCACCACCCGAGCATTTGTCATTGGTAATACGTCACCAGATAAAGCATTTCAATGAAGCAACTATGGCGACTTGGTACCGCATAGTGTCGCAGGTATGTCTAGCGAAAGTAAAGAGTGTTAAGAAGTGGGTTTGATGAACAATGGTTGGTTTATAGAATACACAACCTCTGGCAGTCGTGTGACCTCTGTCATCTGATTGTTAAGTTGCTATTCCAGTTGCCCACTTAAGGCAGCTGTAATCAGATTTTGTCCACATTTGAGCAACTCCATTTTTTACAACAGTAGAAAATGCGACCGGCAGTCGTTCCTGTAACGATCGGGCCAGAATTGCTTCGTTACGTTATGGCCTTCAGGAAAAGATGAAAAGCTCAACACCTGTCTAACGGAGGTTTTTGTCTGAACGGCACGACAATATTTAAAATGTTTTCCTCATTTTCTACCCGCTGTCCTTGCGCTGATGTGGTGGCTCCGGCACCGCAGCGACGCGACTGATAAACATCAAGCTGGCGGAGGTGAAGGATTGCATCTCCCGGGGGCAGGAGGTGCGCGGCGAGTACCTGACCTACTTGCTGGCGAGTGGTCGCCTCTCGCTGCCCGAAATCTACAGCAACACCACCGAGGTCTGCTGGCTGGCGTGGACACCGTACGTTCGACTCCCATAGGCGGACGGCTACAGCCAGAGGCTGACACGGTCGGCAGTTGGCCGCGATCTTGCTGCCAGTCTGTCGGCGTCACCGTGCGTGAAGTGCGTTCGCCCCCCCCCCCCCCTCACCGCCGCCCTTGTTTTATCGTTGTTTGTTGACTGTTGGTCACTCACAGACGTCGAACACACTCTCGTGGAGCCTCTACCACCTGGCTCGGATGCCCGCCTTGCAGGAGGCCCTGTGCCGTGAGGTCAATGCGGTCGTGCCTGGTGACGCCGTGCCGGGCATTGACGAAGTGGCCCGGATGCCACTCCTCAAGGCCGTCATCAAGGAGACGCTGAGGTGAGGTGTTCGGGGGGCAGCGAGGTGCGACCGCATGCGTGGTTGCTGCTGTGTCCACTCTGCGAGCTGTATGTATGCAAAGATGAAAGGGCCACTTGAAGCATTTTCCAGTAGTTCTGTTGAGATTCCCTCGTGAGGCCCATCTCGGACACATGGATTCGCGCCGCTCTTTAAGATGTCCGAATGGATTATATTCTTCACGGCTTGACACCAATAGCACAGCGGGCGCCTCCATGGCGAGATGTTAACTAGCCTGCCTGGTACACAGGAGGTCGGGGGTTCGATCCCGACCCTGATGCCTGCTATATATTTGGAGTCTGCGTGTTCTTCTCGTGGTTGTGTCGATTTTTTTTATAGATCCTCTGGTTTTTCCCTCCACATTTGGCTGATAAGCCACTTCACGAAGCTATCATTTGTGGCTAGGTCACTTCTGAAAAAGAACTGTATATCTCAGTGGGCCTTATCTGGTAAAATAAAGAATAGTTTACGGTTTAAAACACGATTTAGCACCGTTAACAATTCGCAGGTTTCTAAGCTCTAAATGTTTTTGCTGTTTATGTCCGCAGGTTGTACCCAGTGGTCTTCCAGAATGCGAGATGCATCATGGATGATGGCGTGGTAGTCGGCGGGTACTCCTTGCCGAAAGGGGTAAACTGTGCTCGCGTGGAGCTCACTGCATACGTCACGTGGCAATTTTCCCCACATTCATTGGATGTCGATTCAGCTGTAGAATTAAGTTCGGGACTTTTTTTTTTTCAAAATAAATTATTTCTGTAAGTTGTAACTTTGACCATTTTCTAAATGGCATCGTTTCTCTAATTACGGCTGCCGCTTTTGTCAAGTGTGGCGATTTACATGTTGTTTTTACTGTAGTGGCTCGATTATAACGATCTGTGATTGGTCGAAATGCATCAGGCGTAGCCGTTTGTAAAAATGACACTTAAATAATAGACCTTCGTCATACATTGTTGGATGAAGAACTTTCCAAACCGTGGCAGTTATGTGGGTTGTTTGACCATACTTGTTTATTAATGCAAGTTGGTGAAATCGACAGCACAGAATCAAACTCACCTTGTCGTGCTCGTAGAAAAGTGTGCGAACTGCACCACAAATGGCCATTGTGCGTGTACAGCACAGCCCTTTTTGTCAACTCACTTCTGGATGGAGGACCTCTCCATGCCACGTGGGTCATGAAGGTTGTTTACATACTTCACGCCGTTCAGGGTGGGTTGGTGAAATCGAGAAACATCGATGTGGAAGCATAGAGTCACAGTATATCAATGAATTGTTCTGCACTGCGCTTTGCAGCCTCCAACGTAGGCCCGCAAATGCCTATAATAACCTGGCGCATACCTGGTGGTCAAGGGCCATCCAGGTTCAACACTGTTCAGCTTCCAAGGTCTGATGAGATAGAGCACGTTTCAATGTGAATGGCACTTCTCAAATAAGTTGATTGGCCAATCCATTGTGGTTTTTTTTATATCATGGCTCAAAGGCCCAAAACGCCAAGCGGTCAACAACAAAAAATAACTACGTTACATGTACCAGATAAGATGTAATGCTTTGATTGAGTTGAGAAAGCTTTTTTAGACTTGGGCAGAAAAGAGGAAAATGGGGGAGGACTTTCCCAAGTTGAGCAGTGCCAAGAAAGAAGTAGAAAGAGAAAGGTTCTGACCGGCAGTAATCGTGGTGGTTGAACGCAGTGTGGATGAGATTAAACATGTCATTCCGGTAGACCCGAGTCCTCCACATCGGTGGAGATTTCAACAAAAGGAATTTAGGGAAAACCGTTACCATGGCAGCAGCCGCGAGAAAATAGTGATGAGACAACTGACTGGCGGCCGGTGAGCGAGCGGAGTGAATCGGTGAATGTTGGATGGTCAGCCAACGTGATCGTTGCCCGCCGTCACTTGCGCCGCAGACCCGCCTGTCGCTGTGCCACTACCTGCTCTCCATGGACGGAGAAATCTTCCCGAATCCACGGGAGTTCCGGCCCCAGCGCTGGCTGCGGGGCAAGGACCGTGCCGCATGGCGGCACGGCAGTGGCGGGGAAGAGGAGGAAGAGGCTGCTGCTGCTGCCACCTCGGAGAGAACGCATCCCTTCGCCTACATCCCATTTGGCTTTGGGCTGCGTGGGTGCGTGGGACGCCGTATCGCCGAGCTCGAGATGCACCTCTGCCTGGCCAGGGTCGGTATCCCCAGACGAATGTTTTATTGGTTTAACACGTCGCAGGCTTTCGCGACCAATATCATACATAATAGGGTTTTTTTGGGTTATATCGCATACATATATGAATTTGTCATTAAACATGCCACCACCCGACACAGTCAATTAGTAAGGTTTGTCACGTAAACAGAACATGCCAATTCGTTACAAGCCACAACATTTACAATCTGCGTTCAAGCTAGTTGTAATTACTGGGTCCTCCAGTTTTTCCCTCCACATTTAGAAACATGCGTTGAAAATATTTGGCCGCTATCAATTTCTACGTGATAAACCACTTCGTTAAACTCTCATTTGTGGCCAGGTTGCTTCTGAAAAGAAGATATATAGCTCAGTGTGCCTTACCTGGTAAAATAAAAAAAATGTTTCAGTAGTTTAAAAATGGCAATCCAGAGGTTACCTCCGATTTGCGTGGTTGGCTACACCAAAAAAAGTTCAACATACAAGGTGGTCTCCTGGCACGGTAGTTGAAACAATGGTGCTAGATTATTGAATCCCCTCCACCGCGTCTCTGTCCACTCAGCAGTATAAATTAGTAGACCACAATCAATCGGCAGGTTGTGCGTGGTGCAGTATTGTGTGGAGGAGAATATGGATGAGGGCCTCCCTGTGCTGTGCGGGCTCGTGCGAGATATTTGTGCTGATCGGATTGGATGGAACGCGTAGATAAGTGTGGGTAATGATATTAATTTGCCGCGTTTTTCAGTTTACACCTCTTTGTAGTATTATGCATGCCAAGGTGCAGCTCACTAATCGATTCTGGGAGTTGACAATAAGAAGTAGAACTGGGATGTTTAGTCGATTAATTTGATTCGTCAACTAAAAATTGCAATCGTCAACTTGAGTGGTGGATTACCTGTGCTGCTCTAAAAATATGGCACTTCCTGGCTCCCGAAAGTGGGAAACCCCCAACAAAGCCCAGCGTGACGAGGCTGATGATGTCGGTGACAGTCACCAAACCTCACATATCACCTCCCGTCCAGTGGCACAACATGTGGGCGAGACATTTTTTTCCGACACTTCCCCAACAACCTCTTCCGTGTTATTCGATTCTCTGATTAATCGAACCGCCAATCGGTAGAGTAACCGACTACTTACTAACCCCATTGGAACCTCCCTTGCCAGTAGCAAAATATGATAATTGTATTTTTACCCTTTTATCTGGCAACAAAACTGACACCTTTTTTTACAAGGAGTCATGTTGGCATTGACCACAATACCTGCGGTCGGAATGCAAACAAAAAACACAACTCTGATAATGTATGCACTGTCCTTGAAATTGATTGGTCCACACCCGAGACAGCTTTTCTTAGAGCCTAGGTTCACATGGTGTTGAACCAGATGACGCCAAAAGGCGCACAACTCAAAGACAATGCACCATCAGAGCATGAGAGCTCGGGGTGAGCATTTACACCATTGGAACCTCCTTTGCCAGTAGCAAAATATGATAATTGTTTTTTTACCCTTTTATCTGGCAACAAAACTGACACCTTTTTTTACAAGGAGTCATGTTGGCATTGACCACAATACCTGTGGTTGGAATGAAAACAAAAAACACAACTCTGATAATGTATTCACTGTCCTTGAAATTGATTGGTCCACACCCGAGACAGCTTTTCTTAGAGCCTAGTCTCACATGGTGTTGGACCAGATGACGCCAAAAGGCGCACAACCGTGTATTTCATTTTAGTCATTTCATTTTAGTCACGTATTTTTTTTAAACAACTTAATGCACTCTAATGTGGCGGGGGGGGGGGGAGAAGAGGACTGTGGAATCGACGGTTGTGCAAAAGGCCGAACACCCCTGGCCGTATCGTCACGCGAGATGGCGACATTATTTGGTTTCTCCCCGAATCTCAGCGAACGTTCTCTCTGTCACCGCGCGCGCTGCTTGCTCCCGCAGTTTGTGAAGACGTTCGAGATGATGCCCGAGCCCGGCGCGGAACAAGTTCAGCCAAAAACGCGGGCCGTCCTCGTTCCCTCCGCCCCCATCAACCTCTTGCTGCGTGAGAGACTCTGAGGAGAAGAAACTAAAGAAGAAGAACGATACAGAGAGAAGGCCATAATATTTTTATTTTTGGGTTAGATCGCGAAAATATATAAATGTCTCATTAAACTCGCCACCACTCAACACAGCCAACTAGTAAGGTTTGTCACATAAACAGAACATGCCAACTTGTTACTAGTGCAGCACACCGGTGTGTTGGAGAGCAATGCCACAAAATGTACAATCTAAGTACGACGTTTCTCCAGTAATTACAACTAGCTTCATCAGCCGACAGCCAGATTTGTAAAAGCCTACCTCTTCAACAGAGAGGAAGGTCGATTGCAATATTTGCATGGTCGTGGACTCTGGTTTGTGGGAATTTTGGGTGCAATGGCTCACTCTCCCGGTGATTTTATTACTTTTCCAAATTTCAGCGTCTCGAATTCGAATGAAGAAATAATGATTTGTTTGACATTGCGACGAATGGTCGTGCCTCTCGTGGCTGCTGTAGAGCTAGTGTGAATCCATTACAAATAAGGTGACTTGAAACAAATATTTGTTACGTGCAATTTAATGCCACATGCGTTGTGAGCTTAATAATACCTTTTGATCCGTTGATGCTTCTTGACACATCCGGGTGGCAAGTAATTACGCATTGGATTACATTCATTTGTTGCGCTCAAAATACATGCATCTCATCGTGCGTGTGTGAGAGTCAGTGATTTACGATGTATGTACGCAAAATAATACGTGTAACCGGCTCGCCCTATCCCTCTCCTCCCGTGATCGTAACGAGGGCACAAGCCGTTTAATAAAAACAACAATAATAGACGATGAGTGGGTTTTCTGCCATGTGTTCTGCCCTCTTGAGGATCGAGTGACTTCCACCACCGTGGGACACCAGAGGGTTGTGGAACTGCAACTCTCTATTCCAAAGTGTTCTTCTGAAGAGCACTCGTGCATCTGCAATCACGACTAGATGCACACCAATCGACCCACGTTGAAACACAGCACCTCGCTGCTCAATCCCTGTACAGCGTCGATGCGAATCTGAATAGGTTTCTCGTACCCTGAATTGATTACTCCACTGGTAGGCATGGCCTGTTGTGCAGTCACGTGATTCGTTGGGGTCCACTCCGTGGTCATCATTAACTTAATTCACAATTATACGTGTGATTCATAACATAATACCTGTCAACCCATATGTGGGTTACCCGTATTCTTGTACAGGGAATTTGCGTTTTTAGGTTCATACGGCGTACAGACTTTTCAATACGGGCAAAAATAAAAAAAATGTTTTGTCTGTGTTTCTCCCTTGTGATGGGACTTTGTAGGATGAACGTTGAGATTGATAAGGGCACGGAGTGACCAATAAGATCTAAATTAGTCTGTAATAGTCTCTGTGTGAAGTATACTTGTGCAGATTACCATATATGGGAGGGGTGTAATAAGTAAAAAGGTGAAAACAACTGACAAGAAACCGGTCTTTCCAAGCATAATCGTCGATTTTGTGGGTCGTATCTCACCTCTCCAATAATAATTCCCTTTATCAAAGAAATCTTCCGAGTCTGAACACTCTTTATTAGAAGAAACCTGCAAAGAGACACTTGGCCATTCCACGATGAAGTGTTTGGCTTCATGTGAGAGGTAATGAAATACCCGGAGAAAGCCTGCATGAGGTAGTAAGTACTGTATGGATGTTGAACTTATATCGCACCGTACGTAGCCAACCATGCTAATCGGAGGTGCAGGGGAAGAACAACAAACTAAACGCAGAAATATTTCCTAAAGAAATACGTTTTCAATCTCTATCCAGTGGCTTCCTAATATCGGAAGGCAGAGTGTTCCGGACGGCCGCAGAAGCGCATCTGAAAGCACGCGATGCGTTGACCATTGTCTTTGTTCGATGGTTCGCCAAAAGCCGTTGCTGTCAGGATGGCCGGAGTTTTCGTGATGGTATATGCTCCTTGACGAGATCAGCAAGGTATTGTGGTTAATTTGTGGCAAACACTTTGCGTGTGATGAGTACGACCTTATAATGTATTTGTTCGGCAACCGGAAGCCAATGCAGCTCAGTGAGCACTGAATGGACATGGTCGGATCTTGCAGTACCCAACACTCAAAGAGCTTCACGTAGATTAATTTAAGTATCCATTACTATACTGGCATCCCTGGTCACCTCGCAACCCAGGCGTACAACACCTTGTATTCCGAGGCAAGTAATAACCAGGCTCAAACGTGCTCAACTTCTGAGATTAGACAAGATCAAGGTTACCGTTGAAACATGCCACCTGAAAAAAACTAATTGATTTTAAATAGACCCATGGCACGTTTAGCGCAAGCCATTGTTTGTAGTGGCATGGTGTCGTTGGTGTGGGTCTTGGTGAAATGGGGGCCTCGTGTACGATGTCCCACCTCTTTGTAACCCTGCGCCTGGACCCCCAATGGGCCCCGGTACATTTGCACTGCCAAAACACTCGGCGACCATGCCACGAAAGGTTTTGCAAGTGTCGTGACCATAATTTAGCTAAATTAAAAAATAGCTTGCACTCACTGCACGCAGTATCACAATGAATTGTGCAACAACAGATCTGGTCGTGTTCCCTTGTTAGAGGTTGTCTCCGGGTGAAACTGGTGCTTGGAAATAATCGTCATACAAATTAAGAATTGAGTCCACTTTAGATTATGCCGATTATTAAACTATATTAACCTGAACAATAAAATCAACTGACTAATGCTCATAATTGTAGTAGTAGTAGTCGGAGCAGCGTGGAATGAAATTACATTCAACCCGAATGCAAACGATTTCAGGTTGCAGGTATAATTTCAAACGATTATTTGCGTAAGTCTGAGCTTGACCTTACAGCACGGCCTTGCGTACAAGTACCAACGCGTGTGTCCAAAGTTAAGCACCACACACACAGTTTTGTTGGACGATGGCAACAGTGGTGCCTTTGACCGTGCGGGCTTATTTTGGAAAGCGCTTTCTTTCCACAAGAGGTGTTTAGTGTCGGCCGAAAGTGTTTCAGGGTGCGACCTCTGTGAATTCATGAAATACCCTGTGAAATTAGAAACACAAACAAAAAAAGAGAAAGACCGGGGAGCCAAGGCTTCACTGAGCGGAGGTAACCAGCGGCAAGGAATGACCTGCAACGCAGTGGAGTGGCCCACAGATAAATGCCGTCTATGTGTGTGGCTGCACAAGGGGGCAGTGCTGGGCTGGCCTCTGAGCATTCCAGGCAAGGTGCTTTGTGCACTTTGCTGCAGAGGTTGAGCTCGTGTAGGAAATGGAATCGGGATCTAAAGCACCGGTTCGCAGTGTGCGCGACATTGGCATGGGTGATAAGTGTCAGAAGAAAAACAATATCAAAGAGTAGGCACTTGTACGAGAAGCCTACGCTATCCTGGGCCAAAGTTAATTGATACATTATTTTTTTCCTCCCAGGAGCAAAATGCATATTAATGGTGGGCATTCAGGGCGGTAAGCTGCTGCCTACTCAGTGTTGTGTTTGTGCGTAGAGACCGGCAGTTTGAGCCGCTAACAATTTTGCATTGACTTGTAAAGCACCAATTTCGCAATCTCTACTCCGGGGGTGGGATGGGGAAGGGGGTAATGTTTTATATATATAGTGCGTGTGTGTGTGTTGAAGTGGTGGATATGAGGGGTAAGTTTAAGTGAGTGAGGACACGGGCTAAAGCAAAAGGGGGCAGTGATCAAGGTGGAGTGATTTTGGAAAACAATCACTTGTCGATCAAAAAAACCCTCATAAATTCGTACACACATCGTGAGCTTAATATCATTGATGAATCGACGCATCCGTTACGCCTCTGTTCATGAGACTAATTAGGGAGGTAATCAGCGCCAAAATCTGGTCGGAAGGATGCAGCATGCGCCACACAAAGCTGCGCCACCCTGGCCTCATGAAACCTGTGCCGCGAGTAATGACGCGGTTCTCATGCGCGAGACAGCGCGCGCTCCTTAATGGGACCGCAACATCTGGCCCCTTCTTGTTCCACTCCGTTCCTGCGCTGAATGCCAATGCCGATCTGCCCGTAACAATGCAATTATTCCACCGCGCTATTTACCGCGCATATTAATTTTTTTTTACGCAACACGTAGTGCGCCGCTGCGATGATTGTAAGTCGGAGGACGAGATTCCGAGAATTGTAAATAAAGTGAGGCAATTTTCATTGAGTCTCTTTTGACACCGCTCTCTTTTGTGCAGGTTTTGGTTCTGCAGTAAAGATGAATAGAAAGAGTTTGTGGTCGTTGGTCAATCCGGCAAATGGATTAATCCCTCCGCGTTGCAGTGTCGTTCTTTTGGGACTTTTTGGCCATGCTTCACCACGCTGGTCGGTTTAATTCGGTGAAACGGATGTCCCAGGACCGGTTCAGGTTTCACATGCAATTGATGATAGTGGTGGGTGGGATAAACTTTTTAAAAAATTAACTTTTTTTTCCCAGGTAAGGTATCATTGATGAATCGACGCATCCGTTACGCTATATAGCTATTTTTCAGAAGCGACCTGGCCAACAATTATAGCGCAACGAAGCGGCGTATCACGTGGAAATGCGTAGCAGCCAAACACTCTAAACGCATGTAGATTCTAAATGTGGAGTGAAAATTCTGATGATGATCCGGATAAAAATCCGCGCGACCACAGTGAGAAAGTGCAAAGTCCAAATATACAGCAGTCGTCAGGGTGGCGATCGAATCAACGACCTCCTGTATACCCGGCGAGATAATTAACAATTCGCCAGCGTGGCGCCCATATGAATTTTACTCAAGGTTGCCAGATTTGTAGATTATTACGAGAAGCATTGCACCACCACTCCATTGGTTCGGCAGTGCTGATGTTAAAATGCAGACATTAAGATTTAGGAGTTTGGTTGTGAAGCATTTTTTTTTGCATTGCGCACAATTTTTTATGGAAACATTGTGAAATGATTCACGCATTCGTCGATTTTTAAAACAAAATGCATTTGTGTTGATTGGAGAATTAAGCTAAAAGTATTTCAGTTGCACTGTGTTACTTAGAGGCTCAAGTAACATACTGTTGGAAGCTTTAAATCGAAAGATAGTAAACTAATTAATATATAAATGTATGCCGTACACGAGGCGTGTAATGGTTCATCCCCCGGTGAGTTGATGAATTGTCACTACTTAGCGCGATGAACTAATTACATGTGGCCTACGACAATACAAATCGAGAATTATGTCGTTCCTACATGCATTATTCGATGCACGTATCGTTAGGGAGAATCCTGTTAAACACTGAATTGATTCCACGTCAAAACACTACCGTGCACCCATATCTAAAATCATCATCATAATCACCGCGATGGGCCATCATCAATCCACTACTGGATGGATGTCTCCGAAAGCCACCGGCCAGCTGTCGCGATCCCACGATGTAATAATTCCGCGAGGGTGTCGGAAATATGCGCACCTGTATGCAACCGGCCACCCACTCGTGCATCTGCTTTTGACAGGTGCGTTTAAAATGGCCATTCGCGCACGTGCACGTACACGTTCGTATATTCACGCTGCAAAGCGCAGCGGCGCAGCCACCACCGAGTGTGGATTAAAGAAGGCTCTTGTCGGACTTGAGGTGACCCGGATGTGCTGCTGGATGAGAAGATCGAATGCATTGGACACGGTGGGAGACGCAAATGCCTTCGACTACAGACAGAGCCTCTGTCTTTTTTTTGTATTAGATCAAAGGCCGTCTGGCTGTAAGAGCACTGAAAAAAGTGCAATAGGGAGGGCACTGGCCCAACACCGTGACATCACCAATTGCATTCCACAGTCCACAGCGAACCAACAGTCTGGTCTGGGCTAGGGAAAGCTGAACGAATTATAAATACTTTGGCGGAAATGCCTACGTCCGAACAGCCAAACTACGAGACGCATTTACAGGACTCTGGGCGCAGGTTGGAACACGTCCAAGGCCGAATAGAACTGAGAGGAACATGCTTAGACAACCTCGACATGTTTATAGTTTATGAGGATGGTGGAGATGGCTTCGGTTCGGAAGCTCTCGGTGTGCAATGTCAGAGTTGACGGGGAGAATCTCACGTGGCTGACATCCAAGCACCGATTTTTAATAATTATTTCAGCCGGCGAGTACTCCGATGGGTTTATTTTATCACGCGGGGTGAGTCATGTTGTTATGCTTGCCCCTCGCATCATTAGATTGTATTTCGAGAGGACGTTGTTGAGTCAGATGAAAATTGTAAAAATCTGAAGTAAAAAAGACCCATTTA